GAGGTTTGTATACATGGTATTTGTTGTGCAATCTAATATGTCAATGTATTTTATGTAGTATTTAATTCTGATTGATGTCATGGCAGATAAGGTTTCGAGGACATTACAATATAACCAGAATACAAATAGACGTGGACCTACTGTGCGCACTAGGAGATTTGAAATTACGATTTTTTTTTTGAAATTATAAAAAACATTTACTGTTTATGAGTCTAAAGCAACATTTCTTTTTTAGCAATTAGAAAAAGATGAAAACTCGCCAAAACACATTGAGAGGATATATTGTGGTCATTTGTTTCACCAGGATTGTTTTTTCAATTACATGAAACAACCACCCTTTGGAAACAAGAAGTGCATCAAATGTAATAAGAAAATTTACCATTTCAAATGGTCGTTAACGGATAAATTAGCAGAAGACAGATGGGCACATGGACAGGCTAGAGAAAGAGAGCTGCAGGAAGTTGTGGAGTTTTTCGATTAGATACATATGCATTTTAATATTTTTTTAACAAAAATAAGTTAGTATTTGGGATTAGATGACATTATAAAGATTCTTAAGGATCCAGTTTGTTTTTTTTTCATGCTCTTCTCCTACGTAGGCTTAGTTAATGTTACCCCTTAAAAATTAAACATAACGACTGTGTTTCGCTAATGTGTCAATTTTTTTCCATTACTGTTTAAAGAAGTATTAGCAATATAGATTTTCGTTATAAATAATTTCGAAAAACGTTATTATTTAAAGGACTGCAAACAATGCCATAAACACAATAATATATCCACGGAAAAAAGGACTAAACGGAAATATCGACGTTGAAAACTCAAGAACCAGTATATATAGAAGAAATTGGATATTTGTTTTGAAAGTTTCGAAACAGCAGAGGTTTAAAAGTTTTAAGTATTCTGTAACTCTGAGGTTAGTTTTCAGCGATGAGATAAGGCTTCTCTTTCCTTGGTTCTTTCCCTGCATAACCAGTTGGAGCAAGGTGTATTTCTCTCCACGTGTAATATGGCCGAGATATTCCATTTTCTTGTTTAGTTGTATTTAAAATTTCTATTTCTTTATTCATCCTTCTCAGAACCTCTTTGTGACGTGTTCTGTCCATGATATTTTCAGAATTCTTCTATACATCCACAGTTCGAATGATTCCAGCTTCTCCATTGATGTCGCATTCAAGGTCCAAGATTCCATTCCATAAAATAAAGTCGAAAAAACATAGCACCTCGCCATCTAACTCTTAGTTCCAATTTTAAATTCCTTGTACATAACACTCGTCTCATTTTGTTGAAATTTGCTATAGCCTTTTATATTCTGATTTTGATCTCTTGAATGTAATCATTTGTGGAATTAATCATTGTTCCCAGATATGCATATTTGTCTACTTGTTCGACGTTGGTTCTGTTTTTTAGAAGATTCTGGTTATTTCTTTGAATTTTCGATATTCTCATAAATTTCGTCTACTTGACATTCATTGTTAGACCACACTCTTTTCCATACTCCGCTATTCTGGTCACCAGTCTCTGAAGGTCTTCAATATTTTCGGCTGAGATCCCAGTGTTGTTCGCATATCTAATGTTAATGGGAACTCCATTTATTTTTATCCCAGCTGTTTCACCCTCAAGGGTGTTTTTCATGATCTCTTCGGAGTAGGCATTAAAAAGAATTCCTGACAATACGCATCCCTGTCTCACTCCACATTTAATTTCAATTTCTTCTGACAGCTGTTCGTTAACACGTACTTTTGCTCGCTGTTTATAGTATAAATTTGATATGATCCTGAGGTCGTTGTAGTCAATCTTTTTTGATTTCAGGACACATTTTGAGTTTCTGCCTTCAATGTACACGTTTCTACTCCGTACTGACACGTGAGACACGTTTAATTCTCATTTGGTTCACATACAGATTTGCTCAAGTTATGTCTCTCTTGCTGATGATCATTAGTTTTGTTTTGCTGGTGTTTATATCCAGTCCATATGTTCTACTTGTTTATGTTATTTTGTCCATTAAGTTTTGCAGCCCTTCTATGATATTGGAAAACACTATTGTATCATCTGCATTTCGCAGGTTATTGAGCTTGACTCCTTTTATTGAGATGCCTTCATCAATTTATTTTAGAGCCTCTTCAAAGATATGCTCCGAGTACAGATTGAATATCAGTGGTGAATGATTCCAATACAGGTTAGCTATTATTTTTAGGTCTCTTCCGTCAACCCCTGTCCTCTCCTCAATCCAAACTATTTGGAGGCAATTTGTTCATCGCATTTCCGGTAAATTCTTTTGTAGATGACTTTTAAAAACAACTTTAGCAGATGGCTCATTAGGCTTATGGTTCTATAATCTTCACAAACTTTTGCTCCTGTTTTTTTGGGCAATGGTACGAACTCCGATTTGAGCCACTCTACTGGTATTTTTTCCTGCCTTTTATATTTCAATAAATATTTCAGTTATTATTTTTATTTGTTCTGCATCTAACAGCTTCAGCAGTTTTGCAGGAATTTCATCAAGACCCGGTGCCTTTCCATCCTTCATTTGCCTGACGGCTGCCGTTATTTCTTCTGGTAGGATTTCAAGACCTGTATTTTCTTCAATGGTGGGTTCTTGTATTGTTCTAAGTGGAAAAGTTTCTTCAAGTATGCTTCCCATACTTTCTTTTTATCTTCTTTGGTTATGGCAAGATTGCCTTTATCATCTGTAATTTTTCTGCTATCGCGTTTTCGGAACTTTCCAACTATTTCCTTCACCTTTCGATGAACATTGAAGTTATCATATCGACTCTGATACTCCTCTATTTCTTGACATTGTTCTGTTTTTTGTTTCTCTTTGGCTTCTCTTATCTTTTTTCTGACGATGGTATATGTATTCTCTTATATTCTTTTAGATTTTCTTTGTTTTTTTTCTCCGATCCATCGGTCATCCACGATGTGTAAACTTACTTTTTTCTATCGGAATCAGATCGTAAATACAGTTCCAAACTAATTTGGAGTCAATTCGATTCGATCCCAGTGTGTTTGAGCCATTTAATAATCATTAATTTCAGTTTCGGTTTTATACACCTAGTATGTTAGGGTCTTAAAAAAGCGTTCAATGTTTTCCAAGTGTAACTAACCTTTTATATTTTATGTTTAAAACGGGTTTTTTTAGTTAGTAGAAGTTTTTGCTAAGATTACACTTTTATTTTCAATCGAACCGTGTACTTGGTGTGTTACGGGTTGTTTTAATGCCGCCTGGCTATCTAATATAATTTTTATAGACCGGTCCCTTCAGGTGAGAAGGAAGATAGTGGAGTGATTACCTAGTCTCTCACTAAGTCTCATCTTGGTTTCCCTCCGTATTCTACCAGCTACAACTCCTTCATCGGTTTTTATCTGCCTTCTGTATGCCCATAACTTCTGGGGATATATTAAATCGACCATTTATGGTAACGACCTCGAGATTGTTAAAAACCTTGACGTTTGTGCTACCATTATGCTGCAAATGCATGAGACCATAGGACAAACTTTGTATGATTAGGTTAATGTTTAGGGAAAGGTATTTAAACCTTTTTTCATTGCACGTTGATATCATTATTAACGTAATAAAATTAATGTTATTCGTTCAAATCCCACCAAATCTTTATACGAAATAAATTCTTAGTTTAGGTGTGAAAGTGGGTAAACACCTCTTAGTGTTTAGGTGAAAGTGGGAATTCAGGGAATACTTACTTACATATGTATAATACCCTATGCTTAATTGAAATATTGATGCACTCTATAACATTAGAAAGATAAATATTGGTTTATTTACGCACTTATACCACATCAACCACCCAGTATTAGTGGGATTACAAACACAATAATAATAAAAAAATTAAAGTCTAAAAATGAAACTAGTTTTGAATATGTCTAGTCGCTGTAAAGAAGTAATTAAAAATTGAGGAAGAAATACTCGTTATTAAGACTTTTTGAGGGAGGGAACTTGCTAAAGAGTATTTAGGTTATATTTTCTTAGGCTATAGTCATTTTAACGTCAACGTCAACAACAGATATGTAAGTTAAGCAGGCTTTTCTTAGGTTTAAATTTCTTTAAGTGTTCATAAAGTCCCACATGGAAAACTAATCGGTATCCTAATAACATCAGGACTCGATGGTAAGGATATGAGACTGATCTCAAACTTATATCTCTAACAAAAAGCAACAGTACGATTGGAAAACTGTCCGAGACCTTCACAGTCGGAAAATGAGTTAGACAGTGTTGCATATTGTCACCGGCATTATTTAACATATATTCTGATAACATCTTTAGAGGGACCTTGAACGAATCAGAAGATGGGATTGCTGTAAATGGCCAACTTATAAACAACATTAGATATGCAGACGATACAGTGTTGCTGTCAGATAGTGCGCAGGGGTTTCAAAGGATGATGGATAACGTTTTAGAAACACGTAACAAATACGGAAAAAACTAAATTGCAAGAAGACAAAAATAATGATCATTAACAAGAACACCGGCATAAACGCCCAAATTACAATTAACGATACAGCGTTAGAATGAGTGGAAAAAATATGCTATTTGGGCTGCAATATTAAAGATACTTGGGATCACAGCTCCGAAATAGAAACTCGTATTGAAAAAGCCAGAAGCTCTTTCAACAGCCTTAAGAAGATTCTCTGCAAGTTATCTTTAAGTATCAATATACGCATAAGAATTTTTAGATGTTACGTCTTTAGTGTCCTCCTCTATGGTGTAGAAAGCTGGAGCTTCACAGAAGATGCCATAAAACGATTGGAGGCATTTGAAATGTGGTGCTACCGAAGTATGTTGAGGGTCTCATTTATACACCACACAAGTAACATAACTATTCTCCAGTGGCTAAGAAAAGACAAAGAAATTATTAACATCATAAAAAATAGAAAATTGGATTACTTCGGCGACATCATGCGTAATGATAAATACCGACTTCTACAGTTGATTCTACAGGGCAAGATTGAGGGTAAGAGAGGCCCTGGACGTAGACGTATATTCTGGCTGGCCAATCTTAGGAAATGGACTGGCTTAACGTCAACTGATCCATTTCGAGCTGCTGTGAATAGAATAAGATGGGTCAATGTGGTTGCCAACATCTCTAGAAGATAGGCACATTTAAAATAAAAAGTTCATAAAAACTTAAAGCTTTTGTATAATATGTAATAATAGATATATCGAGATGTTTTTTTACAAAAAATTGGAGAAAAGTTGAAGCTATCTCACAAAATTAATAAGATATGTTGTTTCTAATAAATTCCAGAGTGTTGCAAAATAAGATAAGACAACGCAACTATATTTTTAGACACTGTGTATGGGTAAAACTTTGGCATGTCTCAGAAAACATTGGTACAGTAATTCCTAAGTAATAGACCTATAATCTGAAATAAAAATCATCGAAATCCAACAGTTCAGAAGAAAAATAACTTAAAACTTATGATAGGTATATACATATTAGTTTATTGTTACCTTTGCATTAAAGCAAATACAACTGGAAGTAGGTGTAAAAAATTCAACTGTTAAATTTATTTAGATTTATTGTTGTAAATTTTACATGTAATACAAAAATATTAATAATACAAATATCACTAATCTACGTAGATAATAATAGTAAATTTGAGATTTAACATGAACTGTACTAGGTTTTCTAATAAAGTGAAGTATACTAAGTTACGTAAATATTTTATACGTAATACATAACATATAACATTCTAGAAGGAATCCTTCATTGACTAAATCAATTTTTGTTTTTCTTAGGCGTTTTAACAACGAATTTTTTTCAAGTTCTAATATAATGGTATGTGTGAACGAACTTATCTTTCAAACAACTACTTTTTTTTGTTTTTATTGTGGCTTTTTCATTAAAAAATCGGAGTTAAGTTGTCTAAGAGATTCCCACTTTGGTTTTAACAATTACATTATAGACATAATTATATTTGGAATCCTGCTGTTTTGGAAAATTTGTGGGATACTGTTTTGGTTTGTGAAAAAATTTTGCATAATTAGGTACATTCATTTTCCACTTTGTATGCCTTCCAATAAGCCGTTTCATTTTATTAGTTTTGTGTTTTATTTGTTGCCTCTTGGATTAGATATTTTCCTATCTTGCTAGTATAAGATTATTATATGCTAAATACAGTTTGTAGGCAAACGTTTGGACAAATTGTAAGTATGACTGGCTTGTTTGAAACGATTCTACGTGAAATTTTGTATGAGCATCTAAGCGTATTGATTCATCTTTTCAAATAGAAGCAAGAAGTTGGTGGATTAACAAACCGTTATTTATGAAATAAAGAAGCTCTATGTTTTATAGCTCTAGTGTTATAACACCACCAATAGAGTTTGATGTTAATGTAAACTTGGGAAGAGTGATATGAATACTGAATAATATATTAATTTAGATAATAGTTTTAAACCAGGTAGAAAACTACATTCTACCTGGTTATATGAAATTGAATAATTTATAATGTGTTTTCCACTTTTGTATTATTCATTTAATTGAAGAAAGTGGTGGATATTGCAGGATTAGATAGGCATACACTTCAATGCCTAAGCACTCTTGAAGAATGTTGAATTTACTATAAGAAGAGGATATTACGTGGTGGTTAAAAATGCTATATCTGACACTCCACACTTTGCATGGAACATAAACATAGAAAAATCTACACTTTATTGAATAAAACATAGTGTTTTGAATTTAGTCATGAGTGGATTTTTAATCCTACAATAAAAAAGTCCGATTTATACATTAACTACATCTAGTACTTATTATATATAAAGCTTTTAGCTAATGTTTAACTTTAAAATGTTACAACTCATAGGTTGAATCATTGTATTTTATAGGTGTTAATATACAGTTGTTTCTTTTGCGCCCGTGCTTGTAACATTACTGTCTTCATCTTCTGAAGCATATTCAGCTTCTGTTAACTTCTTAGTAGCTGCTTCGTGGGCTCTTCTAAAAATATTAAGTCAGTTATTCAGAATTTAGAATTATTAGAAAATAATTAATACAAAATTATAAAACATTATGTATAGAACCTAGAAAATAAATATAGATCAGTCATTGAGGATAAAAAAAAAAACAAAAAGTAGTACAGTGGTACAATATTTTGAAAATGGAATAAAGTAATTTTAATATTTATGTATTATTTTTTTATATATATTTTTTGGATAAATGGACTCTACCAACTGTTTACTGTGACTGCGAACCACGAACCACTATTTTGCTTCCTGACGCTCGCATCGGCATTACATCAGAGAGAAAAAGTAATACCTACATCTCCAGTATAGAAGCTTTGCTTCAAAAGTAGTGATACGGTATGATTTTGCCAAATAGTCGAAGAGTCGAAGAAACCTGGGCAAAAATTAAGCTAAGCATCAGCTAAGGAAGTTTTGTACAAGTGAAGGAAAAATGTAAAGAAGAGAAAAAAGCTTACCTGAAATACATTTTAATCAAGACACAAGAGCCATACAACAATAACAAGACAATAAGAAACGAAATACATGCATTTGTAAGAAGAATAAAGAATGATCACTATAAAAAACGTGGATCACTACGTTATAGGAACGTTTTTCGAAAGAAATGGAATATGATTTTTTATGGTCTGCAAAAGGAAATATGGTGCTTTATAAGGTGTCAACGAAAGGAGGTAAAGGAACTAATAGAACCAAAACACGTAGAAAAGGATACATAGATTGACTATCTAAAAAAGCTCTATGCAGAGGAAGAACAAATGACGCTAGAACCCGAAACATCAGAAGTTATCACAAATGAAGATGTTAATATAAATACACAGGAAGTTGAAAAAAAAAACACTTGAAGAACAGAAACGTTGCAGGTAAAGATGGAATACAAAACGAATTACTGAAATATTGTGGAGCAGCAATGACAAAACAATTAACAATATGAATTAACAAAATTATAAAACACAATAAAATACCGGAAGAATATATAACTAGCAAACTAATTTTAATATTCAAAAAGGGATTAAAAACAGCCATAAAACTACAGAGGTAAAATCTTGTAAAATACTACCTTAAAACTTACATGGAAAGCAGGGGGCTTATATGGAAAACTGTCTGGTATAACTCGACGAGATCATAGTCATCGGAAGGTATTTCGACGAACACCTTGACAATTGGAACGAAGTTTTCACCAAACTTAGGAACGCTCAAATACAAGTAAATGCCAAAAAGTGCGTGCTCTTCCAAGAAAAAGTTAGTTTCCTTGAATATATAATTGTATCCTCAGGAGTTGCAACAGACCCAGAAAAAATAAAAGCAGTATAAGAATCGCCCACAACAAGAAACAAATACGATGCCCGAAGCTTCCTTGGCCTTTGCAGTTACTACTGTCGCTTCGTGAACGATTTTGGAAATATTGACAAATCTTTCTATAACCTATCTAGAAAGAAACTGTCAGTTGACTGGTCACCAGACTACCGTGTCTTTACCACACTCAAGCATAAATTTACAACGGTTCTAATCCTGGCAAATCCTAAAGAAAAGGGTCTTTTCGTACTTGATACGGATGCTTCCCAAAATAGCATCGGGACGGTGCCTTCCCAAGTACAGGAGGGTGTTAAAACGTCATAGGATACTTTATTAAAACTCTGGGAACAGCAGAAGGAAACTAGTGTGTCACCAGTAAGGAGTTATTGGCGGTCGTTAAAGCAGTAGAACTCTACCATTCCTCTATATTAGAAGATTCTTGATAATAACCGACCATGTCGCATTTCAACGGCTCCTCAATTTCAAGAAAACTGAAGAACAGATGGATGGGAAAACTACAGTCCTATGATTCAACATCTTAGAAGAGTAACTTCCGGTTCTGTGAGCACCAAGAAGAATGAGGGGCCAGATTCTATAGTTCAAAACTATAGAGGGTAGGAGTGACGAAAAAGTTCTAACCAAAGAAAACTTCCAGGCCGAGCAGAATAGTCCGTAAGTGGCTAGACAATAGTGCCACAGTGTCAGGGTATTGCCAAATATGGTAAACAGTGAAGGGCTATTGTCTTCAGTGGGAGTCTTTATATCTGCGAGATGACGACATCATTCGTAAATAGAAGAGTTCAGATGGAAAAAACAGTGTCCCAAGTTGTTCTAATAAGAACATGTGTAAAGGACGTGCGTTCAGAACTCCACGATAGGGCATTCGGAGGGCATTTTGGGATCAATCGTATTATTGGGATAATTGTCAGCAATATACGAAAGAATGGTGCAAACGATGTGACCTGTGTGCGAAACGAGAATTAGGAGAAAACTCAAACAATGCATCACCGGGATTCCATGGGACTAACTTGCTGTCGAGATTCTGCGATTATTTCCAGTAGTAACATTAGGAAATAAGTATTTAATGGTTGCTTTGGATTATCTTTTGAAATGACCAGAAGTAGTTGCCTTACCCAACTGTTCGGTTAGTGTATCTTTGGTTGCCTAGTGTTATGTTATGTAGGTGGAGATTGAGGGTTAGGAATAGGTTAGGTTAAGGTTATCCGGGCATGACCGGGAAGTAGTTATAAAAACTTATATAGAAGCTGAAATAAAGATAACTTAATATCAAGTAATAGTTATTATTCAAGAAGCCAACTAAACACCATCCAAGAAGCAATCACAGTTGGTGAGGCTTTACTTGAGAATGTCGTTTTCCGACATGAGGTTCCACTTCTACTCCATTTCCACCAGAGGCGCAACTTCGAATCAGAATTAAGACGACTAGAATGACACCGCTTCATTCTCAGTCCGAAGGCATGGTAGAAAGACATAACCGGATCATCAACTATTAACTATTTAAAAATCCACTAGGAAACTAAGTTCCTGTAGCGGGCTGTATACCATATATCACAAAAAATTTATTTAAAATCCTTTATAAAAGGTATATAATAAAATGCCCAAACGGGCTATCACAAAGATATTGCAAAACGTTTTCGGATTAATAAATCCATCATCAGTGCAAACGAAGTATACATGCTATGAGCCACCAAAATATATGGGTCCAAACCCTTTAAATGATATAAATTTACATTTGATTTACATTATATGTGGTTAAATATGGATATGGATAACCACATATAATGTAAATCAAATGTAAATTTATATCATTTAAAGAGTTTGGACCCATATATTTTGGTGGCTCATAGCATGTATACCTCGTTTGCACTGATGATGGATTTATTAATTCGAAAACGTTTTGCAATATCTTTGTGATAGCCCGTTTGGGCATTTTATTATATATCTTTTATAAAGGATTTTAAATAAATTTTTTTTTGTTAACTATTCCTGTTTGTACATGTAAACCAGTAAGACTGGGACAGACAGATGCCTCTGTCTCTGCTAGCCTAGCAAAGCTTTAAACATGAAGCACGTGATTACAATCCAGAAATACTATTGACTGGTGAGAGATGAAGCTTTTCATCGACCTCTTACATGATAAACTACCAGATGGAGAAGTGGACCAAGATACGTTTCCCAAGTATGTCAGCGGTCTAAAGGATAGACTGGTTAAGGTCCATGATTTCGCTATGAAAAAGTGCAACTTACCAGTGACCGGATGAAAGTTAGATTCGATCAGAAATCCACCCCCTAAGTTTCAATGAAAGTGATACAAGCTGGCTTTACCAACCCAAGAGAAGGAAAAGTCTGAGTTCGAAGTTGCTACGACGCTGGGAGGGACCGCGAATGTTTACTAAGAAGATAAACAACCTTGTATATCAGGTTCAACTGGCACCACGGAGTAAGCTGAAGGTCACACACCTGGACAGACTGTGTCCTTATGAAGGACAAAATCCACCGACCCGATCCATTTAGGTGCTATTCGAGGTGAACAGCCTTTAAGAAGATCGAGATGTTGTAAGCCATATACCCTTGATTGAGACCCTGTGCTTTAGCATGGTCACCGAAGTCTTACACAGACCGTTTCTATCGAGGCGGAGGTGACCTTTAAATATTTCGGATTTTCTTGTGGATTCGCCCCGTAGACCCAGCCAGCTCTTTTCGAGAGCATTTTATTCTCATTATATAAACCAACGGAGGGGGCTCTGATTATTAGTATTGGCGATTCTATGTATTCTACCTAGTTGCCAGGAATCGAGAGGAATAGCGACTTCTTTGTGAGCAGGCCAATATCCACAACGGAATGTCAAGACACTTATGATGATGATGATTCTACGTATCAGTGCGAATTGTGGTTAAGCGATAAATATTAGTGTAATTAATAATTGTGATATTTGTAATTAAGTGAGTTTTGGAGTTAATGGTTTTGAGTTAATAAAATTAGTTAAAACACGTTGTAATTCACTTAATATCCGAACCCATGAAATGTAACAATATTTACATATCACTATTTCTTACTTACCTTTGTTGATCCATAAATTGCTGCTCTTCTAATTTTTCAGCTTCTTTCTCTTTCTGTCTTTTTTGTAAGAAACGATACGCTAGATAAACGAAAAGCAGGATGAGCGGTATAAGAATTGCCATAATTATCCCGGAAGCGAGACCTGCCTGTCGTTGGGAGTATTCTTGCTGACCTATTAAAGAGAGAACAAAAAGTTTTAAATAAGTACATAAACCGGAATTATTAATAAGTTGACTATTTCTTGTAACAGCGTCTTCTTGTTCCCTGTAAAACTTCTTTCTCAGTTGTAAAAATCTCGGATAGTTCTTTTTTGAGGCGTACTGTCACTTTTTTTAAGATAAATCTTTTTCGGAATTCAATAGAACTATCCATAATCTCTTCATAGATTTCCGGCAAGCGTACCACATCATTAAATGGGATCAGATGTGGAATGCAATGGCAGAACTTTTAGTTTCAAAAAAACTTATCCAGCTTGTTAAGTTATGTGAATAGCTGTAGATACAGAGTACGGATAGGTTCCAGTGGCCTGAAACAAGGAGATGCGCTGCCACTTCTCCTTTTTAATATATCCTGGAGAAGACATTGACATTGTGGGAAACACAATCACCAATGTGAAGGAGACCTTTAATACATTGGACGTAAAGGCAAAGAAAACTGGTTTAAGGGTAAACGAAGAGAAAACTAAATACATGTGCATCAACAGATAAAACTGACGAGATAGAATTGGGCAAAATGTTACAATAGGCCCATATAACTTTGAAAGAGTGGAGGCTTTTAAATATCTCGGAAGAGATTAAAGGAAGAGTTCAGGCAGTAAACAGCCTCCACAATACTATTAAATCTAAAAGCCTAACACGAACATCAAAGATTAAAATATATAAAACGGTGATTAAACCGGTGCTCATGAGACGTGGGACCCTGGCCAAAGAAACTGAAAGAAAACTTAGATGTTTTGAGAGGAAAATCCTCAGAAGAATCTTTGGGCCTTATCACGACATCAATAGCAACCAATACCGAATGAGAACAAATGCTGAGGTCAAGCAGATGTATAAAGCGAGCGACATAGTCCAAGAGATTAAATCCCAACGCCAATAGGCTGGCCATATCCATAGACTCCCTAATAACCGCCTTGAAAAGTTAATATGGGAGAAAGCCCCCACAGGAAGAAGGCTCTTAGGACGTCCACGAATGCGATGGAGAGACAATGGTCAGATCTAAGAACAATTGGGCTACCCACTGACCCAACTATAATGGACGACCGTTCAAGATAGAAGCAAGTTGTGCAGTCAGCCAAGACTCATCCCGGATTGTAGTGCTACGAGAAGAAGAAGAAGAATATATCTTTATGTGATCTGTTAAGGGTATATTTAGTATTTTTGAGTCTATGGAAGTTTTTGTTGTAGAATTTTAATTTCTATACACTTCTCCGTCAGCTATTGTTTTTGTTTCTTTTATTTTATGTAATCTTGTGTAATTTGTTGTATTAATTGACATTTCTACTTGTCATCCATTTTTGGTTCTTATCTATTTTAAAATTAAGGTTTTCATACACAATAGATTCCACTTCATTGTTCTTTTACGTTGTTGGTGTAATTTTCTACTATTTTGGCGAATTTTTTCATAGTTAATTTTTTTAATTACTCCTGGATACTATTTCCGTTTATTAGTTTTACGTCTGTGATTATGTTTTCTCATTAGTTATTTTGTTTCAATATGGATATTAGCAGCTAAAACATTATGATCCGAGACGTCATCTGCCCCTTTCATAAAATTTAATTATGTGCGTCTATTGACAGAGCTGAATCAATTTCCTCCTCTTTAGTTTTTAGTTTCAAGACCATAGCTTTCTATAACGTGCTCATTTGTACTACGCTGAGTCGTCGAACTGGATCTAGTTCGAAGACGGGACTCTGTGCTCGAGCAAGCAACAGCACAACGATGACAAGTCAATTGAGATGATAGCAGAATTAAAGCGTCTCACATTCTCCAGACTAATTAGGAGAAGTATTTTATGTCGGAGTCCTTGTACTCAGGACTTTCACGTGACAATCATTTTGCCGATTTGTAGCTTCTATATATAGTATTATAAGCTACAAATAGAATTAGAAGAAGTGTTAACGAGAATAGGCAGAGAGAAGGAAATGGCAAATACAATAAAAGAAAGGAAATTGCAATATCTCGGACATGTAATAAGAGGCGAAAGATTCAACATCTTGAGACACATAATGCAAGGAAACATAGAGGGTAGGAGAAGCGTAAGAAGAAGACGCGTTTCCTGGTTGAAGAACCTGAGATAGTGGTTTGGTTGGAGCTCAAGGCAATTTCAAAGTTCAGAGCAGCTGCCTCGAAGGTCAGAATAGCCATGATGATTGCCAACTTTTGTCGCGAAGATGGCACTTAAAAAAGAAGATAATATTAGAGTGCTATTGAGGGATGGAGGAAGGTCTTGAACATTGGGGCGAGGTAGAGTGGTTCCTATTTCAATCGGATCAATACCTCGCTCCAATAAATTGTAACACCTATAGGTCATTGTGTAAGGGCTGTGCAGGTCTCACAGGCTGGCTAAGTTTTTATTGCTTGCTTGCTTGCTCACGTATACTGTCTCAACAAGCAGCTGTTACTGCTTAATATCCAATTTGGGTAAGTTAATTCTCGAAAAAGGAGAAAATATTATGTTGTCACTGCAAGAGAAAACTATGGGTAAATAAAAAACAATAAGAACCATTCCACACTTCAGGGACCTCTTAACTGTCATACCATGTACTATAGGCTCTTTGAGCATCCCTGGCATGTGAAATGCTTCTTGCTCTATTTGTAAATATTTTATTTTTATTTAACAGTATTTAAACATTTTAATTTTGCTTATAATTCCACAAATTAACAAAACAACCACTCCACATGCTAGAGATAGCCAATATAGTAATAAAGTTATTGTAGGTTTACAAAAGTAAAAAATATTTGAATAAAACGTAATTTTTTGTCTGAAAAATGTTTTTTGGTACAGCGGCACATATACTTTGGTATTAGGATAATAAAATAATTAAAATTTATAAATTAAAAGATACTCTATAAACTACTAAAGTCCATTTCTACTCTAATAATTATATTCTAAACGTCTGTCACTATACTACTCTGACTAGCGCTAATTCTTTCTTTAGGTTTCTTTATTGGTTCCGCATATAGGTCGTTATAATTTAAATTCTTGGAGCTGTTTCCTCTAATAATGTCTGGTCTACTATAAGGCGTTGTATATTGTATACTAGAAGTAGGGCTAGTTGGACTTCCCGTAGGCGTTCTAGAAGCCCTATCGTCTTCGAAGGTTTGATCGTAAGGATCCAACGGTTTCTCTTCGAACTCAGAATTCGGTCTATTGGGCAAAGGTTCGTGAGTTCGGTAGGATTTGTCGTAACTTCTTCGTTTTTTCATCGAGTCAGTGTCGCTTTGAGGATACTTTTCGTCCTCGTCTTCTTCTCTATATGGACTTAAAGTTCGACTGAATTGTTGGAGATTTTGGGACTTTTGTACGGTGTCATAGTTGTAAGAGTTTTGATCGTTATTTGTTAGTCTTAAATATACTTTGTAGCCACCGTAACCTATTAGAAGAACCAATGGTATGATAATTGCGAGGATTATACCTGAAGTGATGGCAGCTTGACGCGAAGAATATTCTTCTTGACCTAAAGACAGTATTTATTTTTAATCTTAATTATTTACAGATCGAAAAATAGCAACAAATTTATTAGACCAAAAAAATTAGCAAATAATAAGTTTTTTCGCGACACTCTTTGATTCAGAAATCTAACAACTGCTTTTGATACATTTGGTGATAACAATATGTAATAAATCAAATATGCAAAATATTTAACGTTATTTGTTACTTATAAAGAATGTAAGATCGCTATATTTGATTTTAAATACTAAAGATGAAGACCGGTAAATTATATGGAAAAATGACACAATTTTACTGAAAAAGTGTAGAAAATCCTTTAAATTGAGAATTTATAAATGTGTTTTTGTTGCTTAAATATTTTTTTTATTTATTGAAAATTATTAATAACTTTTAAAAAGGCTCCAAAAACTTTAATTTCGCGCAAAATAAAGACAATATTACTTATATATTCAGTTAAATAAATTTCAAGAAGTTTTATTTAACAGTTATTTGCAAAATTCAAATTGTTTATCCCGGAAAGCTTTTATCTACAACGTTATTGTGTGTAAAATATTACGTCTATATAAATTCTGGAAGCATCAAATTGAAGAGAAAAGCTTATTTTATCAAATTAATTCATTTAACAATTGAAGACCTGCCCGGAAAAACGTTGTATGCGACAAATTTTAATATGTCTTGGTGGAAATGTTTTAATATGTCTTGGTGGAAAATAATGTTTTGGTGGAAAAACGTTCTTTGTGCATTAAGCGAACTAGTGACACCATCTATTAGCATTAATTTCAATTCAATACCCTCCTTACAGAACTTCAAAACACGATGCGAGAGGAAAAACGTTACTTGTGCAATAAACATGGCGGAGTGTGGAGAGTTATCGTCTACATTGCGTGTCTTAAATCATCTAAATAAAGGTAAAAAACGACAAATAAATTTTGAAAACTGGGTGAAAGAAAAGCGTAAGCGCTTAAAAAACAGTGGACAATCTTACAAAAATTATAAAAATGTTCCTGTTCTAGAAAAATTGCCTCCTAATGTGGTAAGTGGAAAAACGTTACATGTGTTAACAATCTGTACATTCATATTTTTGTTTTAGGCTAGATCTTGTGCATGTTCGTTCAACGGATGTAAGTTAATTACCCTTGAAATGAGACAGAACTTATTTAATGATTTCTATAAAAAAACATACAATGAACAATCACAACATTTGGGGTTATGTATGGAAGTAGAGGAGCCAAAGAGAAGAAGGGTAGATGAAGCCACATCAAAACGTCAGTGTACTGTAAAATATTTTTTGTTGATTACTGGAAAAAGACAACAGGTATGCCAAAAAATATTTTGTGAAACTTATTCTATAACAAAACGCAGAGTTCAAATTTTAATTGAAAAAATCAAGTCAAATCAAACATTATTGCTTGACTGTCGTGGAAAACATGTAAATCGTCCAACAAAAACCAAAGAGTCTGTAAAAGACCTAATCAGACAACATATTTCGTCTTTTCCATCTCAAGAAAGCCACTATTCTCGAAACTCCAACAAAACACAATGCCTTAATCCTGACCTAAACACTAGCAAAATGTTTGAGCTGTTTAAAATATTGCATCCAGAAATTGAAGTAAAATTCCATACTTACAGAGAAATATTCAAAAAAGATTTTAATTTACGTTTTGGAGTTCCTCGCTCCGATAATTGCAAAGTGTGTGATAAAAATTTTATAAAACTGAGTGCTGCAGAGAACGAAGAAGAACGAAAGAAGCTTCAAACTGAATCCGAGCTACATCACCGAAAAGCAGAAAGTGCATATTCATCTTTGAAAGCTGATGAAGAAGCAGCTAAGGTAAATTCAAATGTGATAGTTTTATGTGTGGATTTGCAACAAGTCATTTTTATACCTAACTTATCACATTTCGATGTTTATTACCAGCGTCAGTACGCAAATTACAATTTTGCTATCCACAATATGGGAACCTCTGAAGCTACTATGTGTTGTTGGCATGAAACTGTAGCCAAGAGGGGCAGTGCTGAAATTTCTTCTTGTATTTTAAGGTATATTCTTGAGAATTTTAAGAGACTAGAGGTTGGAGCAGAACGAAAACTTATACTATGGTCTGACCGATGTGTTGGCCAAAATAATAATTGAAAGATGATATCATTGTGTCACTATCTAATGTCAGCAAAGTTCTTTACTGAAGTAAATCAAAAATTTTTGGTATCCGGGCACAGCTTTTTACCCTGTGATAGGGATTTTGCACTCATCGAAAGATGAAAAAAAGTAGTCAGCTATATTTCACTCAAGATGTACTTGAGCTAATCAAATCAGCAAGATCAAGAAAACCTTTTCAAGTAGTTGAAATGAAACAGGAGGACTTTGTTGACTTGACCTCAGTTGAGAGTCAAATTAAGAAAGATAGTATTAAAATAACAGAAGCACGTTGGATACAGGTCACAGCAAACCAACCGACTGTTCTGCGGATAAGACAAACGCACAATATCCTGCAACCATGGCGGACATCACCTTTACTAAAGATACCAAGAGGACGAGCTGCAGTCCGAAATACAGTTTACAATCTAATTGAACCAGAAACCTTGCCTCCACTGTACAGAGAACCTTTAACTATATCTGATAAGAAAAAAGCAGACTTGCTGAAAATGACTGAATGTTTAGCAGAACAGTATAGATCATTTTATTGTGAATTACCTGCACATGCAACTTAATATGATTTTGTTTATCTAGTATGTAAGTTTTATTGAGAATAAATTTTTGTTACTTTTCAGTTTTTCGTATTTTCATTTACTGTAATTTTGGGACATTTTAATAATGCTCGTATTTTTCTATGTTAAAAATGTTGCAAGGAATATCGTTTATAAGCACAATCAACGGAAAAAACGTTGCATGTGCGTTAACACTAGGTTACACATGCAACGTTTTTCTTTTACAAAAAATTTCTTTTTGGTTTTTTGCGCTCATTAGTCTTTTGTTCTGTGTTATTTATATTCAAAGTTTTTACCTTACTAGTATTATACATAAGCAACACTTAAATTCACAAAATTTGGTAAATAATATTATCAAAATCGTTTTTTGTGATTATCTAAAAAGTTTCATGTTGTCGTTTGCAACGTTTTTCCGGGCAGGTCTCCAATTAATAATAAATGTTTATGTTTTATGGTTATAAATAATATCTTTTAAGAATAAATTTTACAAACAATTAATTTTTTATTTGAAAATCAAATCTATACGTCGTCATTTTTCTTGAAATATGCTTATTATTTTTACCATTACTTTTCTTGACTGAAGAACATTACAAATATATTTTAAACAAATTAATTATTATAAACTTTGTATAATTATAAACAAAAATAGTAAAATTAAGTATGTTAATTGTAATATGTTAATTATCAGTAGACCTGCGATTATCCGAGTCTTCACTAACCGAGACTCTGGATTAACCATTGAAAAAAACAAATTAATTAGCTTGTAGGATTTACTGGCCACCTCCCACCCACTCCCCCACTCGTCAGTTTGAGTCATCAAAGCTAGCTGTTCGGTTCGTCCCACTGTAAGCTCTTACAAGTTCATTCAAGAACAAGTAACTCTTTTGATGCGTAGTAACTTTTCTGGATCCTTAAAATTAAGACCTCTCCTCCTCCCCAGTTCTAATCTCTTTTGGGATGTGGTGACACCATCAGGCCTTTACGGTTTTTTCACGATTTCTCTCCATCCTTCTCTGTTCTGGGCTAGTTGTTCGGCTTCATGTAACCCTTGGTTAATCAATATTTTTGTTTGATCTACCCAACGGCTTGGAGATCTTCCCCTAGGTCTCTTTCCTTCAACTCTACCTTCGACTATCAGTTTTTCCACCATACCTGTTCTTCTAGCAATGTGTCCAAAATACTACAAATATCTCTGTTGTATTTGTTTAAGCAATCTATCTTTTACTTTCAGTTGTTCTAATATCTAAGACTTCTACTTATAATAATATAAGACCTCTACTTATTGGAAAATAAAAGAATCCAAGGGCTTTTAAAAATATTTAAGTAAACTGCCCCACCATGTACAGGAACCAACGTAGTGAGTGTATGGATTGCCAAAATTTTAAAGATTATTTTTTTGACGAGTTTCGTTTGCGTTGTTGAGGCCTACCTAAAAAAACCTACCAAGAAAAGCTATTCTATTTTTGGACAACGCGCCATCTCATCCAGATGCAAGTTGGTTGGCTAGTAGTGACATTAAAGTTGTTTTCTTGCCACTATATGTCACATCTCTCATTCAACCTCTGGCCAAGGAGTTTTAGAGGCTATGAAACGGAACTATCGTCAAAGGCTTCTCAAAGTGTTATTGACCTGGTTGGATGAGGAAATGGCTGTGACAGCTATCATTAAAAATATCACCGTTAAGGATGTGTCTTACTGGATAGCTGAGAGTGGGATGATGTATGAATAACAACTTTGCAAAAGTCATGGCGACAGCTTTTTCAAATTGAAGAGAAAAGTGATGGAAAAGACAATACACACAATGTCACTGAGAATGACACAGATGAGATAATAGAGAAAATATCTCACTCCGAAGGCCTGAAGGCGATTGGATTGCTCAACTACTTTGAGCAACAGAAAGAGTCAACCACTACCGATGTCCTTCATATTCAGCATTGGCGCAACATAGCAACGTCAAAACGAGGCCAAAAATTGACGTGGAAATCTATCAAAGACTTTTATCTATCAATTTTCGTTTATTTTAAGTAAACACCAGACCTCTGCGTTATGCGAGTTTTTTGGTATCTGAGGTATGCGCGGTCCCAATTAGCTCTGATAATCGCGAGTCTACTGTATACAGATTAATTCCATAATTTTTATTTTTAATTAAACATAATTAATAGCAATTAATTTGTGTAAAAATTAATTTTGTAATGTAATTAATTTAAAATAAAAATAATTGTAAAACTAATAAGCACGATTCAAGAAAAATCAACACGTATAGGTTTAATTTTTAAATAAAAAATTTATTTTTTGTAAAATTTATTTTTAAAAGATATTACTTATAACAATAATACATACGTATATAAGTTGCTTATCATTCCATAACCATTTTTCGTAATATTAATAAAAGGAAAGTACAATTTTGGAAAATAAATATTTATTTTAAATTGTTTAAACAAATTAATCGGTTAAATAAACAATCTACTGAATGAATTTTTATGATCTATGCTACGAGGTTATTAGAATTGGAGATATTGCAACTTTTAAAAATTTGAATTTATGAACTCAGTTTTTGAAATAGTAAAATTGCTTCTCTTTTAAACCCTTTATCTTCGGCGCATAATGGACAGCTTATTTTTAAGTAATCGTTTTTAATTTTTTTTATCTAAATTTAAACTCTTAATATTTCAAATAGCACTTTTTAAATTTCTCATTGTTTATAAACAAAGCCCCGGTGAATTTTTGAAAAACTCAGGTTAAGGGTCATAAGACATTATATTTTATTTTTAATTCTTATATAAAACCCAACATGGCGAATAGTAAAAAAATTAAGTTTCATGTTATTTCATCTGAGTTATTTTAATTGTCTGTAATCTTAAAATCAAAATTGATCATTCACAACGCAAAATGAGAATTTACTATGAATAGTCTCAAGGCGTGAAATGCCCATTTCTTCACCTTGAGTTTTGCAGACGACCAGGCAGTGTTGGCCCAGGATTCTTTTGATATAAAGTTTATGCCGACAAGACTGCATAAAAAATATAGCAAATGGGTCTAAAAGTTAGTTTGAATAAAGCAAAATATTTAATCATATGCTGTGGTGCAAAATTTAAGGTTCTGACTGATGATAATACATAAGTAAAAAAAATCGAAAAGTTGAAGTACCTTGGTGTTGTAGTTCATGAAGAATTTATAGGTAGCCAAAATATGAAATTCGGGCTTCAATAGGTAGGAGATATCATAGGTGCATTTAATTTTATTTGGTGGGATAAAAACTAAAGCAAAAGTAATAAAAAGAAAATTGTTCAAACCATGGATGATTTAGTTAAGGCAAAAGACGAGTTACAACAGTCAAAATGGACTACCTATGACGATCTGTCAAAATTTCTATAATATATCAGATTCCCGACGAAGAAATCAGAAACAGAATGTTAGTACCAGAATTAATTGTTGAGCGTACCAAAAAAAGTCTTAAATGGTTTGGCCATTTACTTGGATGGATGATGGAATCTCCGTAAGTCATGGAGCTAAGAAATAAATCGTGCTATATATATATATATATATATATATAATATATATATATATATATATATATACATAATGTATATTGCAAAAGTAAAAATTTTCAGGTTGATCAATTTAACAAGTCTAATGTCCAGTATACGTAAAACACCCTGTGCATCATAGAATTAAAAATATAATACGGATGTGTATTTAATTGTAGGGGATGAAACTATTACTATTAGTAAAAACTTACGTAAACAATAAGTGTATCCGTATTCAGGAATATTCCATGTTCCATCCGCTTGACACTCTCTCCGCTGATCACCTACCAAAACGAACTCCTGAATGCATTCATAGGTAACCTTAGTTCCAGGTACGAACAGGAAAGTACTCTTCCGTCCGAACCTCGGTGTTTCTAGTACACCGCAAGACACAACTTTGGTCCTTGTAGTTTCTTTATATTGATATATTGTGGCTTTATAATTCTTGGTATAATGTGCCAAATCCCTATCAAGCGTCATAGCGTAATCGTAGTAACATTCGTACATCCTTAGAGGACATATTTCGTATGTTCGCTTAATATCCGCAGATCGGTTGGCTGGTATGAAATCTTCCGGGGTCATTAGGAATTGAGGCTTGAACGTTTTGTTGTTGTAAGTGGCTGAAGTTCTTCCGAATTCCCTATAAAATAAGATTGTATATTATAATTAAATAAGAAAACATTTCTATGTACTACAACAGTATTGCAAGAGAAAAATTTGACTTCATATACTCCATAAAATCAAAATACAAAGAAACATAGCTCGAAGAAACCTAATAATATAGAAATACTAATTACAACAACAATTAGTACAACAATCACCACGAATATATGTATAGTCGCCTCGTATTTCGGCGAGACTATGTAAAAATGTATGTACTGTAATAAAAGCAGGCAATAAAAATTAAAATAAAAGTTCTCTACCAGGAGTAGTCATTCATTGCAAAATTATAAATAACAGATGTATAATAATACAAAGTTAATATTTTCATCGATATTTACATTCAGATGTGCCTGGTATTATGTTTGAATATATGGGTAGTCACCCAATTGAAGTTTACATCGAACTGTTGATCAATCCACGTGGACCAAGAGCCAATAAAAACAACAGATATCGCTATTATGACAAATCATAATACAAGATAAGATAAGTATATATATATATATATATATATATATATATATATATATATATATAAGGCTCTTGAACTCCTAAGTGGAGCATAGAGCTTCAGTGAAAACGCGCCATCGGGTTCTATTTTGCGCTAAGACCTTCACCTCATTCCAAGACTTTTCTTGGCCTCTTATCTCGTCCATCATGGATCTTCTCCAAGCTTGTACTGGGCGACCTCTCTTTCTTTTCCCTTGGGGATTCAACTCTACGGCAGTCCTTGCGATACTGGAACTATTTTTTCGGAGTGTGTGACCGATCCAACCCCACTTTCTGGACTTAATTTCATTTTGTACCCTCTTTTGTTCGGTCAGGTGTAGCAGATCTTCGTTTCTAATGGTGTTAGGCCAGAATATACGAACAATTCTTCGTAGACATTTGTTAACAAAGACCTGCAGTTTATCTGTGAGGGTGTTTGTCACTTTTCAGGTTTCACATCCGTAGAGTAGAACAGACATGACATTTGATCGGAATATTGGGATCTTTGTCCTTGTAGTATACTCGCCAGATCTCCAAACAGGGTTGAGCGTGCTAAAAACTTGTTGGGCTTTTCGTATCCTCATACGAATATCGTCTTCTGTACCTCCGTTTTCTGTTATGACACTTCCAAGATACGTAAAGTTTTCCACATTTTCAATCTGCATATTGTCGATAGTAAATAGCGTGTTGTTCTTTGCATTTATTATCATGGACTTGGTTTTACTAATATTGATTTTCAAACCTATTTTGTTGGCTTCAGTGGAAAGTGTTTCCAATTGGTAAGCCAGATCTTGGAACCTTTGACCTAATAGGCAGATATCGTCCGCGTATTCTACATCGCTTAGGCGTGTGGTTAACTTTCATTGTATCCCTCTTGTGTCAAAGTCTAGTTTGGAGAGAACATAGTCTATAGCTATGTTAAAAAGAAATGGAAAAAGCACGCATCCCTGTCTAACTCCAGTAAGTACGTCGAATTCGTCACTGTTGATCCCATTGTGTGTCACGCTACATTTCGCATCAGTATATAGTGACTTTATAATAGAAATTATTTTTTGCGGGATGTTTCTTAGCTCTAAAATTTTCCATACAGCAGCGTGAGACAAGCTATCAAAGGCACGTTCAAAAATCAACAAAAACCATGTATAGGGGTGTGTTCCATTCAACCGATTATTCCCTTATTACAGTCACAGTATTACTGTGGTCTATGCAGGATGATTCTGGTCTAAAGGCTGCTTGATTAGCTCGAAACTCAACCTTATTTGTTAATCTTTTCAATATGATGGTCGTGAAAATTTTGTTTATGACAGTAAGCAAGGTTATTCCTTTCCAATTTTTGCACAGTGTGAGGTTGCCTTACAAGATAAGAAATATCGGTAGACTTATGTATCCTTCGGTATATATAACAATATTTGCCTGAGCAACCGAAACCATAAAATAGTTTATCAGAAAAAATTACGTTTCGGTCGTACAGTGGTTTGAGCTTGGATAGGTGGGTATATATTTTGTTAAACCAGCGAAAGCAGATTTTGCAAAACAAGAATATTTTAGTATAACCATAACTACTGAGATATTTTTAAAATGTGGCGTCGATGGTGTGATAATAATTCTGCAGCTAAAAAGCCAGTGGAACCTCTAATCAATTGGAAGTCTTACAAAGCTGTGTAGTAAAACTTAAGCGACATTTTCAATAGCTCATTGATGATACCAAACGTATGCTGAAACATGTTTATCAAGGACTGTGTTCTGAATAGTATAAATCCTAGGCAATTACAGAAAAAGGTTTTTTAACCAGAGTGCCCAAAACAACCTGCTACAAGATTATAGAAGAAATATCTTCTAGATAGAGGAGAAAGGATTGTGGTAAATTCAGACAAATAGGATTCGCACTTAATTGAACCTTTAACCAGAACAATATACAAAACGTATGCGGCTAATATTCTCTATCCTACATTTTATTTCTGGAGATTGGTTCCAATTTTCATTGACATTCGTACCAAGGTAGGTGTATGTTTTTACCCTTTCTATTAGTTGACCATTCACACTGATTCTTTCTATTCGCTGTTCCTTCGTAGAGATCATCATACGGTTATCCACTACTACTTCTTGAAAGATTTCCTCAGAGTATAAGTTAAACAGTAAGGGTGATAATATATATCCCTGTCGGACCTCGCGTTTGATTTTGATATTATTGGATTTTCCTGCCTCTGTATGGATAGACGATGTTTGATTCCAGTAAAAATTGCTAATAATTCTTAGATCATAGTTTATTCCAATATTTGTTAGTATCTTCATTAGCTTGTCGTGTTTTACTGTATCGAACGCTTTATGGTAATCAATGAAGCATGCATAAATATCGCAATTCACGTCTCTACATCGTTAAAATAGCACTTGTATGCTAAAGAGGGCCTGTCTCATACTCACATGTTCCGAAAACCAAACTGTGTACGGCTAATTTTTCTTCGCATAGTCTATACAGTGCTTTTCAGATAAAACTATCCACCTTAAATAACTTTTGAACCTCTAATTTTTTGGAAAAACGCAAAAAAACGTCAATTAATATTTGAAGGGGGAGACTTTTTTAAATTACTTCCCCCTTTTTTATTTTATATTTGGATTCTCCTTTTTCCACTGATTTCAAAAATGTATAATACCTTTGGCTTAAAGTGATTAATTATTATTTATAACTGGGAATAAGCCACATTAAAGATAAAAATACATTTATTGACGTTTCAATTTCCAATTCGGAAATCGTTCTCAAAATACAAATAGTAAATTAAACAAATTTTGTTTAATTTACTATTTGTATTTTGAGAACGATTTCCGAATTGGAAATTGAAACGTCAATAAATGTATTTTTATCTTTAATGTGGCTTATTCCCAGTTATAAATAATAATTAATTTACAATGCCACAAGAAAATAGCTTCAGAACAATATTAAAGTGATTAGTTTATGAGATAGACAATTTTCCTGTTAACAAAATAGTATCTATCTCACCTTAATTGACTGTAACAAAATAGGTTGTATTATGATTTAAACTTTATAGATATTTAACCGTACTATTTGTAGTACCTTCAAAAACCAAGAAACAAAAAATTCACGTTTTATTAAAATTTTATCAAAGCTTTTCAATATTATTCTTACATTTGTTGTAATTGGTTAATAGCCAACGACAATTTGTTATAACTTGTAAGTCACAGCCTATTTTGATACGTGTGTAATTTGATCGTTGAAATGGTGTACACTTTGCAAGAAAGAATCGAAATTGTAGGTTTATAATACAAAAATAATAATTGTGCAAGAGCTGCTGCTAGAATTTTTAATGAAACACACCACAATAGACATGCAACTCATAAGTATGTGATTGAACTGATGCAGAAATTTAGAGCAAGAGGGTCAGTTTGCAATAAAAAACATAACCGACAGGGACTTGTAAATAACGAGGCAATCCAAGTAGCTGTTTGAGAGCAAGTTAACTTAGAGGCTTAACAATCACAGTCACTGTCAACAATAAGCAGAGCAATCGTCGTTTCATCTTCTACAGCGTTCCGAGTCCTCCATAAATTTAAGTTTCATCCATATAAAATTAAATTAGTACAAGAGTTAAATGAAGAAGATTTTGATCGTCGTCCTGACTTTTGCGAATTAATAATACAATGCATCATTCCAATCCACAATTGTTAAATAATATTAGCTTCTCGGATAAATGCTCATTCTCATTAAACGGTTTGGTGAACAGATATAATTGCCGATACTGGGCTAAGAGTGATCCACATATAGCACGCGAATTTTATACACAGCATCCTCAAAAGACGTTTTCATCTTTCTTAGCGTGTGCGTGTAAAAACACTTGCAATAAGTTATTTCATATGTCTTTCCTTGTCTAAGCTTGATTCGTTTACCTCCTCCTTTCGAAAACATTTTCGAGTCCATACCTTGAAAATGGACTTAAGTAGAGGAGCTATTGTTGATGTTTTCGAAGCCCTCTACAGAGCACACGGTGGTACAGAAGGTGCTTAGACCCTTATTAATTACCCCGCGGTGACATGGCGCCCAACAACGTGGATTATTCCGATCCCACGACCCAGCTTGACTCACAGCAGAATGCTACAACCATTGACTTCAACATGGGTTGAAGTCAAGACAAGAATGGGGAGAACCACGGAGTATTAGAAAGCTATACTCTAACACTCCGACATCGAGGCCTTCTGCAGACCGGATGCCTTCGACGTGCAGGCACCTTTGACGAGCCAAACTTCTTCGAAGTCAGAAGCCCCTAATGCCAATGGAAGTCCAGAAGTAGACCCAGTTAATCGCCCCCCTACCGAAAGTGGTTGGACGACCACGTAGGCTTCGGCATCCTGGTACTCTGCGAAACCCCTGGATATGGCAGATGGGATCCGGACGACCGAGAAGAAGACGAACCCGTCAATGAGTTGGCACAGCGATCGAGGATGGACTTGCAGGAGCCGGAGATGCCGTCAGCACCACCGACCTCCCTATTAGTGCTGTGAAGTGAGTTTGCTTAAAGACAATTTTTAATTTTATTTACATTTTCATGTATTTTTCTATGTCTCATACTTTGCATACATTTTTATGTATTTTTACTTATTCTTCACATGTATTTTATTGTAATTTGATATTTTTGAATTTTCAATAAATTTTTTCCCAGCCACAGAGCCTCCAGAGGAGGGGGGATGTTCTCGGACGCGACTAGTTCACGTTCGAGACGCATCGCCCCGCCCCTTATTTTTCACGTTGGCCCCTCCCTGACCTGGAAATCCCTAATCGCTACTTCAGAAAGTATAAAAATAGGCGATTTTCAGGTCAATAAGTCAGTCCTTCACGGGCTCTCCGAGAGCTTAGTGCTCTCGGGGCTCTGCTTTCTTGTTCTTAGATTTTCCCATACTCTGTGGCTGAGATGTTATTCTACTGCAACCTGGTATTTTTATTTCGACTTAACCTTTGTCATGTAAGAAATATCTTGCCTTTTTCAAGGCAAGATACCAGAAGAAAACATTTTCGAGTCCATACCTTGAAAATGGACTTAAGTAGAGGAGCTATCGTTGATGTTTTCGAAGCCCTCTACAGAGCACACGGTGGTACAGAAGGTGCTTAGACCCTTATTAATTACCCCGCGGTGACACTCCAGTGGCAGCTATTTGTATTCGTAAAGAGGCCGAACTTACCACCGACACCGTATCGGCCAAACGCATCGGTGTTACTGCTACAATTCTGGGAGACGTGAGTGGTCTCTTCATTCCCTTCTCATCGCACTTTACCATGACAAACGTGACTCGCACAATTGAATTACGCATCTGTGTATCAGAGAGAAACGAATATTAAAAATTCCGTAGTAGCTTATTTCAGGCACACCAAGAACGATGAAACCGAGTTTATCCTACGTGATCACATTATCGGACCCTTCTTTATCACTGGAAACTTAAATGGTGCATCGTATCTTAAATTCTTTAGGCGAGCGGTTGATCGTATTAGAACAATAGTAGAAAATAATGATAACCTTTCCGAAAATTTGGTTGTATTTCAACAGGATGGAGCTTCTCCACACTTTGCTTTACCTGTGCGATAATTTTTCAATGAAATATTTCCCGATCATTGGATAGGTAAAAGACGACAGATCATGGATTGGCCACCTAGGTCAGTGGATTGAACAACCCTAGACTTCTTTTTATGGGGGTATTTGAAAACAAAATTATGCTACTCAGCCAGAATCTCTAGATGATTTACGACAAAGAATAGAGGATGAATGTAGACAATTAAATGCAAACGTATTAAACAATGTTCTTCTTCTTATGGTGCCCTATCCAATTAGTGGATGTTGGCGACAATTCTGGCATACTCCTATCTATCTTGTGTGGCTCTAAAAAGTGCATGGGCATCGAGATTTGTCCAATCTCTTATGTTTTTAAGCCATGAGTATTTCTTTCTTCCGATGCAGATAATGTTGGAGAGAAGAATTTCAAAATAGTTTGTACTATTGTATGGAAATGAAGGGTAGTCATTTTGAACAATAATTGTAAATTTTTAGTAGTGAAATGTTCATTATAAATTTGTGCAATAAAATTGTTAAAAAATAATTTTTTTCAATCCAATTTTCTTGATTTTGTATTTATTTTTCTCACAAACTAATCACTTCAAGCATAATGTATTATACATTTCTGAAATCAGTACAAAGAGGAAAATCCAAATATCAAATAAAAAAGGGGTAAGTAATTAAAAAAAAAATAAAAGGATGATACGGGGGGTGAGAGGGTGCATTTCCCAGCAACCTTAAATATGATATAATGTCTCCCCCTTCAAATATTAATTCACGTGTTTTTGCGTTTTTCCTAAAAATTAGAATTTTAAAAGTTATTTAAGGTGGATAGTTTTATCTGAAAAGCACTGTATATCCCTTGATGTATGATTTTTAGAAATAATTTTAAAATGTGGCTCATTAAGCTGATGATCCGAAAATCATTGCAGGATACGGATTTTGTTTTTTTATAAGTATATAAGTATAAGTATAATAAGTATACTATATTCCAGACTACGTGTCACATTGCCTAATACAGTAGACTATAATCTATATAAGGCGGTGGTCTCCAATAAACGCCATAAAATGCTGTACGTCGCTTACAGCGTTACGGCATATATCGCGTCTGTATGCTTTATATAATACATAAATAATGGATCTGGAGTGGTCTGTTATTGTACTCTAAATGCAGTGTGCAACTACTGTATAAGCACGCAGACGTGACATTATGTCGTAACGTTATACGCGGTGTACGGCGTTTATTGGAGACTATCGCCTATTTCTTTTTTCAACCTATACAAAAATATTGATATAAAGGTATTCAATTGTACACAATTTTATAAATTTGCAAGAAGTTTCTTGTTAGAGCACTGTTTTTTACTATATGACATTTGTACTATTTAAACGCTTAGTTTGGTCGTTTTTATAAAAAGTACTATTTCTTATACTACTTTTGTATTCGTATAAAATGACTGTTTTATTTCAATTCCGACATGATATGTAGTTTTTAGTACGTAAAACTTATTAATAAATATATTTATCTATCTGTATAGCAATTAAAAAAAGCTATATTTACCTATGGAATAACGCTCTACCCTTTTGTGGATCTAACACATCATCCAACATCCATTTGGAACCAAAATCATTGTAAACCCTTTCCATGTCATTTATGTTAGAGACTATTGCTGCTCTGGAACCATCTGGAAGTGTAAAGTCGTCTTCTTTGTTGAAACTCCAATTTCCAAAAAGGCCTATGGTTTTATTCTAAAAACAAATAACAATTAGAGAATGGGTATTAATGTATAGTACTAATAATTTCATTTATTAACATTTTCCATCGAAAATAATATTATCGTTATCATCGTCATGCAATCGTACTGTTCCCTATTGAATGTAGGCTTCCTTCTCCAAACTTCTAAATGTCTCTCGATTCCAGACTGGCATCTTCCAGTTTCCAGCAATTATTTTTACGTCGTCGCTCCAACCCGTCAGTGGTCGACTTCTGCTACGTTTGTCAGCTAATGGTCACTATTCAAATCTTGCGACATAATCAGCCATTCCGTCGTCTGATCAAGTTGTTGAGTCGTCTGAATAACGTATAAACGGACATTAAGTAGTTTCAATATCTTCTGAACAGTCTTCCTGTTCATATTGAATCTTTTAGCAGATATCATTTGACTAATCTTCTTCTTTAAGTGCTATCTCTGCGGCGGAGGTCGGCAATTATCATAGCTATTCGGACTTTTGAGACGGCTGCTCTGAAAAGTTAATTTGATGTATATTCGTATCACTCTCTCAGGTTGCGCAGTCATGACATTCTACGCCTCCCTATGCTTCTCTTTCTTTGGATCTTTTCCTGCGTAATCAGTTGGAGCAAGGTGTATTTCTTTCCACGTGTAATCCAAGATATTCCAATTTTCTTGTTTTAATTGTATCTAAAATTTATATTTCTTTATTCATCCTTCTTAGAACCACTTTTTTGTGACGTGTTCTGTCCACGATATTTTCAGAATTCTTCTATACACCCACAGCTCGACTGATTCCAGTTTTTTCATTGATGTCGCATTTCCATTCCATAAAACAAAGTCAAAAAAACATAGCACCTCACCAACCTAACTCTTAGTTCAAATTTTAAATCCCTTGGACATAGCACACTTCTCATTTTGTTGAAATTTCCTCTAGTCTTTTCTATTCTGATATTAATCTGAATGTAATCATTTGTGGAGTTATTCATTATTCCCAGATATGCATATTTCTCCACTTGTTCGACGTTGTTTTCGTTTATTAGAAGGTTCTCGTTATTTCTTTAGGTAGGTCCAATTTGAGTGAATAAACGTTCGTGATTTTCGTTGGTGTTGCATCTTTAACTTTTCTTGTTGTTGTAAACTTCCAGTTCTTCTATATTTAATTAAAGTGATAAGCACAATAGCACCACTTCTTCTTTATCAAGTGTTATATCCTCCCAGAACGTTGACAACCAGTTTTATGATCTTGTATAAAGTATTCTAAATATCTTTCCTTGATGATATTAGCACTTTTGTTTAAATATGTCATTTAACTAATACATACTCATTTATTTTTTTATAGTCTACGGAATTTTTAGCATTATTCTGCATGCCCATGTTTCGAACTTGCTTTAAGTATGTTTATTGAAATACTCTGAAAATTTTTGGCGGCGAATTTGGTGCTTAGACTATTTTGTCTACCTGAATTGTATGAGCTAAAATAATGCACGAGGAAAAAAATTTTTACGATATATAATATTACTTAAGAACCTTCAAATATATTAATACATCTATACAAAACAAAACATTAATATTTATGTCAACAAATACTGCCAATTTTTAGAGGTATGAGCTAAGGATGATAGCGTTTGGTATTATCGATCTTTTTTATGTATATTAGAAAGTTATTTTTTTTTTCAGTGTTATATTATTGGCAATAAATAAGAAAAATGTTATGTTATATTAAATTATAAAAATACATACTATAAACGACCAAGGTAAAAATACTCTTGCACTCATGAATCCTTGATTATCGACAACCTCCATTCCAGCTCCATTGTCAAACATAATGATAACTTCTGATTGATTAAGGATGTAGGTTGGAGTATAAATAGTAACTCCTAAAAATACATCGAAAATAATATGCAGGAATAAAACTTTTTTAATATTGCTTGTGAAAAGTACTCATTAAACTGTAAAATAAACTTCTTAAAGCTTTTAATTTTAAAATTAAATTCGTGAAAAGAAATATAAAGTTTGTTTGTGGGATCGCCACCCTTGCCTTCGGCCGCCATCTTAGAAAAAGAGGGGCAAAGGGTTTTCGCGCTGTATCTCTTAAATTAGCAAGTCTACAGAAAATTTTATTAAACAATATTTGTAGCAAACTAAATTTTCTATTACCTTAATTTTTATTACTTTTTATCGTAAAATTGAAAATAAAAAAGTTATACACAAAAATAACTAAAAACTTTTGAACAAATTACTTTTGGGTCTTATAACTTTTTTCTGGTTATTTTACAATAAAATGATGTCAGAACAATATTATAGAGGGTTTTCAACGAATAAGTCTCATTACAAATTTGATTAATTTATCTGGGTTTTACAGTAGTCCGAAGTGGACCGCATTCTGGAATACTATTATTATTTTGTTAATATTTCTATGGTATTATTAATTTATTATCGACTTTTTTCCCGACCACCTATGAAGTAGAGTCTGGAGGCGTGTTTTTTAAGTGATATCCTAATTAGGCCTAATTCACTGACAATTTTCAGGCGTTTTTATAAACATATAGAATATAAAAAAATATATAATTTACTAATATATAACAAATGTATAAAACTGTTTAAAATAAATAATTATTCAGCATAATTTTATATATAAAAAGTTGTTTCTCAGCTTTTTTTTTCGGTTTTTTTTGATGGTCCAGGATGCGGTTCAGGATCTAATTCAGTACCGTAGATGAATGTTTACGATAGAACGGAAGTTATAATTGGCGTCATTTTGGTTCATTCATCTTCAAATTTTCAGATTAATTTTAATATTTCCATGATGTCACTGCAGGTTTGACCAGAACAATTGAGACACTGCAGAGCATTTGAGGCCTACTTGAAGGCAACCACACATACTTTAACAGTTTCCCTTGCATATGCGGAAGTTCGGGGGGTGCTGGAGTTTCGAAAGTTTTGATTGCTATCCAAATTATTCCATGTTTTTTACCAGCCCCAATCTTTAGGATTACAGTGATTCCTAGCGATAAACTCTAACACTGTGGCAACGGGCTACATCTTGTTTTGGCGGAAACGATGATAAGTTAAATGTAATTTTGGTCACTGTCTTGCCTAATCGTCTGTATTTTATGTTGTTAGAAAATCATAAAGAGACGAAAAAACGTTCACCAACGACTGTGAGCAAAGATGGCTAGGCTTTCTCACTGAGCAATAATACTATTTCGCTAGCTAACTCAGGATGTTTCTGTAACATTTTAAATAATTTAGTTTGCCGATATTGTAAACTTCCAATATTACGTCCAATAAACAATATATATTAGAATACTAAGTTTGATGGTTCGTTTTTATCGTATTCTTACTGGATTCTTCAAGAATCCGGTCAACTTCAATGCGCTGTAAAACCCAGAAAAGTTAATGACATTATACAAGTGTGAAGTGAATGATTCATTCCAAAACTTTCTATAATATTGCTCTAACATTATTTTATTGTAAAACGACTAGAAAAAAGTTAAGGCCCAAAAACAAAATTTGTTCAAAAATTTTTATTTATTTTTATTTATAACTTTTTTTATTTTTAATTTTATCATAAAAAGTAATAAAAAAAGATTTGTAGAAATTTTAATTTGGTACAAATAATGTTGAATATAATTCTTCGTAGGGTTGCTCGTTTACGAGATATAGCGTGAAAACCCTTTGCACCCCTTATTCCAAGATGGCGAGTATTCAAAAACCCGGCCAATTTCAGAGTGGTATAAAATCCAGAAAAATCTATAAAATTAAACAAAAATTTCAATATTCTATGAAAAACCCCCTAGTGGAAAAAAAAAACGTTCAGGAGTTTTTTTAAATCTTTAATTTAAAAACAATGCGACCCAAATACTAAAACCAATTTATTAGATATGATTTTGGTCCTGAAAACCTTTTGTAGAAATAATATATATATATATATATATATATATATATATATATATATATATATATATATATATATATGCAGTCAGAATATTGGCCGGGATGTTAAAAAAACACCCTTTTGACTTTTTGTCGAGCTTTCGGAATGGTTTTATACCTTTTTCAAGACACTGTAAAAGAAAATTATGTAAATATTTAAAAAATATCACAATTCTTCAGTGTAACTTACTAGTCGTTGAGATTATTTTTGTAAGCATTGACACTCAACATTTATACCACACATTAAAATATACAATTATGGACATAATACATCATAAAAATTTTTAAAATTCGTTGTAAAACTAGTAAAACTTGATTGATGGCATGTTTTACTGGTGTATATTAACTCATACAGAGAATGGAAAGAAAAAACAGTGTAATTCATATGTAATTAGGTGTAATTGATGTTATCTTTCTTTACAAGAAATACTAGAGGCCCTTCTTAGGTGACTATATACTTTTTTTTAAACCTGTCTTAATGGTATGCAACATATTATACAGAGGTGTAATTTTTATACAGGTAAATATTTATTTTATTTATTATAAAATATAATAAATATATTATATTATATATTATATTATTATTATAAAATAAAATAAATATTTACCTGTACAAAAATTACACCTCTGTATAATATGTTGCATACTATTAAGACAGGTTTAAAAAAGTATAGTCACCTAAGAAGGGCCTCTAGTATTTCTTGTAAAGAAAGATAACATCAATTACACCTAATTACATATTAATTACACTGTTTTTTCTTTCCATTCTCTGTATGAGTTAATATACACCAGTAAAACATGCCATCAATCAAGTTTTACTATTTTTACAACAAATTTTAAAAATTTTATGATGCATTATGTCCATAATTGTATATTTTAATGTGTGGTATAAATGTTGAGTGTCAGTGCTTACAAAAATAATCTCAACGACTAGTAAGTTACACTGAAGAATTGTGATATTTTTTAAATATTTACATAATTGTCTTTTACAGTGTCTTGAAAAAGGAATAAAACCATTCCGAATGCTCGACAAAAAGTCAAAAGAGTGTTTTTTTAACATCCCGGCCAATATTCTGACTGCAACCCTAATAAACTGTGTTGTTTGTATATATATGTATATATATATATATATATATATATATATATATATATATATATATATATATATAAATATTTATTCACTTACCTTGGAAGTGCTGGAATTTCAGTGAAGGTCTATCGAAATAAAGTCTTCTATTATCTGCGATAACATCCAACCTATATCTCCATCTAGAATCTAAAGGCCGCCTTCTGACTTCAATTGCTATTGTGTTATTACCTTTAGCTACTACAGATGTCAGCTGAGTAGCTCTAACCTCACCATAAGCGTTAGGGTCAATTTGCTCGAATCTTCCTTGGATTTCCAGATTGTCTGTTTGTGTAACTGATTTCACCAATGCGAATTCCCCTTTACCATTGAACGTATATTCTACATCGTCGAAAGTAACAAAGTGTGGATCACCATAAACTCCTGCGATGCCTGGTGCTTGGTAAGCTACACAATCTTGTGTTGGTCTACGTTCAAATCTCAGTGTTTCACATCCCACAGCTTGCTCTTCTTGCCAAAGACAACATAAATATTTGGGTACCATATCATTAAACCATTGTGAGAGAGTTGGAACTTTTGTCGCTTCATTGTAAGGCATTTTACCCAAGTTGTGGCAACGTCTCGGACTAGAACCCCATTGTTGATCGTACGAGAGCATCAAAAAGCCGTTTTTATCATAGCAACATTGTTGTTCAGAGCCTTCTAAACTGTAAAAATAGTAGATAAATACATCTGAATGTATTGTTGCTATTTATTATTTACTTACGTGGGAGATCCAGTTTTCACACAATGAAGTGCTTGGTTATTATAGTAACAAATTGGATTCGAATCTTTGTCACAGTCGAAATCAGGCATAAACCTGCCCTTGTCAGCTAAAGCCTGTTCCACGGTACAAGGACACTGAGCAAGTTCATGAGCGAAGTTCTTTAGATACCTGTCCGTTCTCAGCCAATCGTCACATAGAACTTTGGGCCAATTTTTGCCGTACTGGTTCTCCCATTGGAACTGAAAGTACCAACCGAGTGGAATGGGCCGGCTCCATACTACTGGTGTTAATTCTATGTTTGTTTGGGTTGTAGTGTATGTATTAACCTACATAATATAATAAGCCAATATAAAATAATAATACATGAGTGATTACGTCAAACAAATGTCAAAATTTTATAAGTGGGAACCAAGAAAAGTACTAGTAATAGTCGAATTAAATGTAGGGGAGCTATAAGCAAGATCGATATCCGAAGTAAAGGGAATAATACTCTCAAAGGGTGTATTGTGCTGTGATACATACTCAAATCTCTTAAATCTCTTAAAAAATAAAGAGCAATTTTTCTATACCAACTAGTTCTCACTTAACTAAAGAAATAGGCAACATGTTAAATATCAACAGTCCGAAGGAACTGAGAGAAAAAGTCCTAGAATTCGATAGGAAAAAATAATAAAAGAACACGGGATCAGGAGGGATATATTTAGAGAAATTAGCCAAGAAATAAAAGAGCTGATAAGGTCAAAGAACAGAGACAGAATAACTAGGAACTAATAAGACAGAAACCAAATATACTACATTGACAATCAAATAAGAACTCCAATACCACAACTAATAAGTGTGAGATAATTATGTAAAAGAAAATACTGCCATATTTAATATAAATATTACCACCAATAATACCTCAATAAATGAGATCCATAACCTATATTGTCTTTTCCGTCTTAGCATAAAAAAAGTTTTATTAAGAAATATATGTAGTAATTATAGTGTATATAATGGAGAACTCTAGCAACGATTCAAGTCAATTTAACATCATCAATGATTTCAATAACACATGTCTATACTCAAAACCAAATCATCCAGAATGCACATGAGGCTATAAATACCTAGAATAGCAAAAAGTATCAACCCGATGGCCAAGCAGATCAGCACACTTACTTCGATGTGAGTAGTCTACTGTCATGAGGTTTCAAGAAAGAAATCCCGGCGAAGGCCAGAAAAACATAACGTTTATGGATGAGTAGTACGGTAATAAACCGGACCAAGGTTTCTTGTGGCTCATTCCATTGATCCCTATTTAAAAGCTATTTTAAAGAGACACGTGCTTAATAAATGGACCAGCCTACACGGAATCTAACCTTTCGTCAAATTACCAGATACCCCCTAAGATTGGATGAGAGAAAACTATTATTAGAAGACTACATACAAGACTACATAAAGGAAAATGATACAATATCTCAATTATATCCGCATATACTTCGACCGAAGATAAAGATGACTTCTGTGAACAACTCGAAAGAACGCTGTAAGAATCCCAAAATAAGACATGCAAATAATCTGTAAAGACATTAACACAGAAATTGGCAAAAAACCTAACCTAAGGACAGGATAACCGTCTCGCTATCTCAAACGATAATGGACAAACGCTCGTAGAGTGAGCATTGGCTAACGATATGCTTGTAAAGTCCAATATGTTTCAAGAAAAAAAAATCATAAACAGACTTGGGTCTCTAATGGCAACTCCATACGAATCCAAATTGACCACGTATTTGTCGATGCTAGAAATTGAAGTTATGTTTTGGATGTAAGATGCTTCACGGGAATAGATAGAGATACATATCATTATCTAGTGAGAGCAAAAATCGGTTTGAGGATATCATCAGAGAAAACGAACGAAGCGTTGGGATAGTAGAACATCAAGAAAATTCAAAATAAAGAAATCTAAAAAAATACGTACAAAAATGAAACAACATGATGTAGCAACAAATGGAAAAATCAATTACAGAGACAGCAGAAATAATAATAAGAAAAAGCAGGACGAGAACAAAGAAATGGTATGATAAAGAATGGCAAGAAAATTTATAAAATAGACAGAAAAAGCAAAACATTATGATACAAAAAAAAACAACAGAAAGTAAGAAAAACTATACAGCATCATCATGGAACACAAGAAAATTAGTTAAAGAGAAAAAACGGAAATAGAAGAAATCAACAGTCAAATAGCCGAGTATTTTACAAATCGGTGTCAAATGAAAAGAGAGGCTTCAGATCTAACTGCGTGTCAATACTCAGGAAAAATAATGGTAAATTAATAATCATCGAAGATGAGCTGCTTTAAATATGGCAAGAATATTTAAAAAAATAACTAAAGTAACATGAAGCGAAAGAACATGTACCTTGAGTAGAGAATATATACCTTGGAGAGGAACTACTGGTATAGGACCCAAAAATGGACGAAACATTGCAATCAATTAATAAATTGAAGCATGCAAAAACTGTAGGCTCCGACAATATATCGGCCAAATTCCTTAAGTACGAAGGAGAAACTTTACATAGACAGTTACAAAAACTAATAACACTTATATAGAACGAAGAAAAAATACCAACAAAATGCCACAAAAGTGTAATAATTCTCATCCATAAAAAGGGAGACAAAAGCAACTGCACTAATTACAGAGACATTACTATTTTTACTACCGTGTGCAAAATCTTGTCCACATCATATTGTAGGCTAATACTTTTTATAGAAAATTTTATAGGGGATTAACAAACCGAATTTAGAAAAAATAGATCGACCATAGACCAAATTTTTACTGTAAGGCAGCTGCTTGAAAAAAGATGGGAATTTAATAGAATTCTTCATAATCTCTTTATAGATTTACATAGATTTTGGACAAGCTTGGGACATAATTAAAAGAGATCAGATGTGAAATAGAATGGTAGAACTATCAGTTTCAGAAGAATTTATCTAGCTTATTAAGATATGTGCAAATGGTTGTAGATCCAGAGTACGCATATGTAGTAATCACTACTAAGGATATGCCAGGTTACCACTCCTTTTTAATATAATACTGGAGAAAGTAGTAAGAACAGCACAAATTAGAATAGAACTACTGACAGTAAATGGACCAAAATTACTACTAGCATACGAAAATGATATTGACAGACATTGTGGGAACCAGTCACCAATGTAAAAAAACTTTCAATAAATTAGAGATAGGGGCAAAAAAGGCGGTATAAGGGTGAATGAAGAGAAAATCAAATATATGTGCATTAACAGATAAAGACGAGATAGAATAGAATATAACTTTGAGAGAGTGTAGAGTTGAAATATTTTGGACAGTCACCGCACATACGATATCACGGAAGAGATCTTCTTCTTTAAGTTCCATCTTATATCGACGGTTGGAAATCATCATGCTATGCGGACCCTCTGACTGCCGCTCTAAATAGTTTTTAAGTCACGATATTCTTCGTCTTTCCATATTTCGCTTTCTTCGAATTTTGGCTTGCGTAATAAGATGCAAAATGAGTATCTTTGCCCTCTCATAACATGGCCTAAGTGCTTAATTTTTCTTCTTTTGATAGTCAATGTTATTTTAGCTTCATTTCCTATTTTTCTAGTAACTTCTGAGTTTAATATTCTTAAGTCCATGATATTCGTAGGATTCTTCTGTAATACCAAAGTCAAAGGCAGCCAACTTATTCCGATGCACTTGTTTTAATAATCCAAGCCATACAGTGTGGTGAATACCCAACATTGGAGCATTGTTGTGCATATACCTAATTTTATATCCCGACAACAAAGAAACTTTTTGAAGTTTAACGAATGGTGTACGTACTATTTCAATACTTGTCTTAATTTCTTTGGTTTGGCCTAGATGTTATCCATGTTTAGGTATCCACACTCTAAATTATAGTATCCTTAACAATCAGTTGGATTTTTACATCTGCTGATTTAGTCATGATCATGTATTTAGTTTCTTTCAAATTCATCCTTATTCCGTATTCATAACAGCATTCATTAAGTCATTACATTATGTTCTGTAAATCATTGTTATTATCCGTCAATACTACTGTATCGTGTGCAAAATGTAAGTTATTCAAAACTTATCCATTGATATATGCACCTTACATTGAATCTGAGAGCATTTCTTTAACTACCGCTTCTCTGTGACAGCACGCAACCCTGGCGGACTCGTCTCTATTATGATATCTCGGGTGTTCTGGTTGTCAACTCTTACCTTGGAGATTATAACAGTTTGATATATTAGATTAAAAAGTTCAATCATTACATCAATAATATCTTCATCAATGAGTTTTAATAATTCGATGAGCACATCATCTGATCTGGTAGCTTTGTATTCTTTTGTGTTTTTGATGGCATAGATAGATGACTTTTCCCGTTATATTGGTGATCCGGTATCCTCTGTGATTTCGAATGATAGTTTTCTCTTTCATTATTAAATATTTTTTGGATGTAATTGGTCCAGTGACATAATCTTTCCTTTATATCAGTAATAATATCTCCTTTATCATTTTTAAGAATATTTGTTCTTGTGATTTTTTTAAAACCTGTCATTTCTTTGTTTTTTTGGTGTAAATTAAAGCTATTATACCTTTTAGCCAGATCGTGTATTTCCTTGCATCTGTCGGAGAGCCACCTCTCTTTTGCCCCTCGAATTTTCTTTCTAATGTTTTCTGAATTTCTTTGTATTTATTCAGGTCTTTTCTTCGTTCTGCCATAAGTTTAAGAATTTATACTGTCATCCAAGGTTTTGTTTTTTTTCTCCTATTGGTTTGAGAGTTTCTTTTTCAACTGATACAAAAGCATGTTGAATTTTTTCCGATATTTTTGGTCAATAGTTAGCGTTTCTGTATTATCTTTTTTGACTTTCCTTAAGTTTCCGTTTATTTTAAATTTCGTTTCCACATATGTGTTGGGTTGCTTAAGCTGCCTTGTATCCATGATTTTCTTGGAGCTATGTTGCTTTTCATTCTATAGTTTCATTCTTATTGACAAAGCAACCGAATTGTGATCGGAGGATATGTCCCTTCCTGCATAAGTTTTAGATGATATTATAAAATTATTATATAATCTTCTGTTAATGATAATATAATCTATTTGATTTTTGACTATTTTGTTGTTATTGTCAGCTGGTAACCTCCATGTGTATAATCTATGTTTAAGAATTTTGAACAAGGTATTTGCAATTATAAGTTCCTCATTATTACAGAAATCAACCAGCCCATCGCCACGTTCATTCCTCTTCCAAGTCCATATCGCACCTCACAATTCTCCACTTCTCCTTGGCCCACTTTAGCGTTTAAATCTCCCAATATAATATTTATATCATGTCTTTTAATTAGCTTTAAGACATTGCCAATTTTTTCATAGAAGCACTTGGAGTATATTTATTTTACGTTTTAAATCAGAGTTGAAAGACAACATCAATACTCGATCAGAATAGGGAACAAAGTTACAAACAGCTTTTTGAAAATTCTTATCTACTATAATGTCAACTCCCTGCCTGTGATTGGAGATCGATTTCTGGTGTTACGTTTTATTATCCTACTTATGCCCTTTTATATCGCTAAGCCCCAGTGTGTTAATCTTCATTCTGCACATTTCCGACAGAGTTCTATATCTAATATACCAGATGGGCATAAATTTCTTACGTTCCATGTTCCAATGTTGAAGGCTATAGAGTTATTTAAATTTGTTTGATAGGGATTTACCTTAATGACGACCTGAGATGTCCTGTCGTCTAAATCTAATTGTCCTCCCCTGCCCGATCTTGGATTCCAAGCTCCATGATCATTATGTAAATTATTAACTAGTAACAAAAAGAGAAATCATACGATTTCTACCTGGCGAAATCGAATTCAATTGATATGGAGTAGTAACTATACCGTACTGAGGAGATCTAAAGAGATCAAAATACGTATATGCGGCTTGTTGCTGCTCTGTATCAAATCAAAATATAATACCGTCATTTGTTTTGTTTATTTACTTCATTTGGAGTACCAGAAATCGAATTCACTACGAATACAGGCCATGATGAACGGCATTTGGAGTGCAATTTTTAGACTCCCTTGCCGATGCATTCATCAAGCTGTTTGCTTCGCAAGTCTTAGGGAGCACGGCGGCCTATATTTGAATTCGATTTCGCCAGGTAGAAATCGTATGATTTCTCTTTTTGTTCTTAGATGGCGTAGTTACGTCCGTAAATAGTTATTTTTAATAACTATAATCTACGACGGGAAAATATTTTGGTTTGATATGGAGTAGTAACTATACCGTACTGAGGAGATCTAAAGAGATCGAAATACGTATATGCGGCTTGTTGCTGCTCTGTATCAAATCAAAATATAATACCGTCATTTGTTTTATTAACTAGTAAGTTCATGATGATTTTTACTAATGATATCGATGTGGATTTTTAAATGGTAGTCATCGCGTGGCTTTCCACATCTCAATGCCGTTGTCTAATTTAGCTCTTCCGCATTCGGAGTTAATTTCTAAGCTCTAGCGCAAAGAAGTGTCCTACCACGTGTCAGTACTTCCACACTTAGCTATTGACCAACAAGTGGAGACTGGTAATCGTTCGGATAAACGAAAGAGATAAAAAGAAGTATTCAGGCAGCAAACATATGTATGTATGGCCTTCACAACACTATTAAATCCAAGAGCCCAACAAGAACATCAAAAATTAGGATATATAAAACATTGATTAGACCGGTGCTTATGTATGGCTGCGAGACGTGGGCGCAGGCTCCCTAGTAACCGCCTTACTATGATAATCTGGGAGAAAGCCTTGTCATGAAAAAGGTCCTTAGAACGTCTACCAATACCATAGAGAAATAACACAGTCAGATTTAAGAAAAATGTGACTACCCACTTACTCAACTATCATGCACGACCTTTCGAGATCTTAGTAGGTTGTGCAGTCAGTCAAGACCCATCCCAGTTTGTAGTATTGCGAAAAATAAGAAAAAGAATTTAATGACAATCAAATAACAATCTATTTGCCAGCAGTGCTACAGTCCTTTTACAAATATTTTTGCTGATTGTTCAAACCACAATACACAATGTTCCCAATATAATAAAACAGTTTATGTGTAATAACTTTCAAGTGCTCCAAGCTTGTTTAACGATTTTTTAAAATTTTTAAAAGCATCTATATATTGAAGAAATATGATAAAAATCTTTTTACGGTTTTGCATAATATATAGTGTAGAATTGTATATTTGTAGTATATAGTATAGTACAGTTGTTTTTGTTTTGGGTTCTATGTTGGTTTTCACCCAACGTGACCAGTAGAACAAGCAGAATAAGTAGTACCAGAAGTCGATATTGGAACTTTGCATCGATTGTTATACGATTTTACTAATTTTGAGGTAATTTTGGTAACCTTCCGGTCATACATTTTTACCAGAAATGACATTAAAATCGAAACTAAATATTGGAGCTCGACCTTTCAATACACGTCGATTAATATGTCACATGTACTATTTCTGCGACTATAATGTGACACTTCCGGTTACAACTTTTTAACTGAAAGTGATGTTAAACCCGGAAGTATACATTTGTTCTCGTCTTGCTAAGGTGCGTAAAATAATCTATCGCTTGTTCTATTTTAGCGACTTTAAAACAGTACTTTTGGTTGCAATTTTGGAGAAACTCCAAGGTCAAATTTCTCAACTTTATTACTATCTTTGGCTTATAACATTTTATTCGACACACCATTTGTCATTCTAGCTGTTTTAATAACTAAGAAGTGCTTACGGACGGAGAGAAAGACATGGATAATTCAAGTTATTACATTTTAATGTTGTAAAATGGGTGAAAACAATACACAATTGTAAGAGAAATTGTACCGGTGTCAATGACGAGAGTAGTCGAGACACACAATTAATCCAAACAAAAAATTAGAAATAATAAGATAAATATAGTTTGGACAAAACTGATTACTATATAGTTGCAAAGCGCTTCTAAATTATTGAAAATAATACAAACTACCTAATAAAATATGTCAAACAATGAAAAGCAACGTTTCTACTAAAACAAAAAATATAAACGGCATTCCCTAGTAGATACTTACTTTAATAGACTCAGTTAAATTAATTTGGAGGAATCCAAACTTAATGTCAGTCAAAAATTGGTTTACTCTAGTTCTATACTGAGAAGGAACAATCGTGTATTCTCCAATGTTTTGAACACTATCTGCGATATCGGTGATATAAACAAACACTGGTTTCATAGTTGTTTCTCTGTAACCCCAGAGGGAAATTCGGATGTTAGCGTTTTCATTTGTGGTTAAATTTTGCTTCTCCCAAGTGATTTTTAATTCACTCGGAGATTTTTCGTGGTATTTCATGTCCTTGAAGAAGATTTTTTGAGTTGCACTAGAAGGAGATTCTGAAAAACAGATTATTAAAATGTAAGTTACATTAATATACTTATATTAAAGCGGTGAAAACTCGACACTTTATTGGCTTCTAATAGATCAAATGAAATTACTACTAAAGTTTCTAGGGTGGAAATATTACAAAGTAGGCATGACTTAGTATAATATTCTACAACATTCCTACATAATTGTCATCAAGGAATCGTCACAATAATCGTCATAATAAAATTGCGCTAAAAATAAAATCGTGTGAAAATTATGTAAAACACTGCCTGAACTCATTGCGGGGTGGATTGAGTAGCTCAACGGTTACCACAGCCGGTCCCAAGCCCGGATAAAATGTGGAGAGTAATAGGCAAGGTTACCAACCTACCAATCGTAAAAACGAATAATCCTCAAAGATACAATGTACAGCCATACCATGAATCACGGCAAGAAATATGGACAAGCAAACAATATCTGAAATCAGAATGAGAATTACTACATGGAATATCAGATTGCTCAATTCAAGGAACCAAGAAATAACCCAACTGATGAAAGACAAAAAAATAGACATTTACGCTTCACATTAAACAACACAGAAAGGAAAAGGACAATCAAAATTAGGTAAATACATACTAATCTCCAGTGGAGTAGCAAAACAAAACAGGGGCAAAGAAGGTGTGGCCATATTAATACACCAAAGGTACCAAAATCACATTAACTAGTGTCAATACATATCCGAAAGGATTGTAACAGCAAAGATATCAATGGAGAAGTAAAATCTGAACATCATCGAAGCATACGAACCAAAAAATAACGAGCCTCAAACAACAAGGGAAACGTTTAAGGATGAATAACAACAAATAATAGATCTAGATCAAGTCAGAGGAAAGATGATAATGTTGGAGGATTTTAACGCTCGAATAGGAAATCAAGTAATATCAGGAATTAAACAAAAACATAACAAGAATGTTAAAAACGAAAATGAAAAAGAAATGAAAAGAATACTTTAGTCAGACAAATGAAAAGGGAAAAGGGCAGAGCTTCTTAAAACAGAAGGAACACGACTTATATGTAACACAAAAGAAATATGGAGAATGGTTAGAGGACAAAAAAAGAGATGAACAAACTAGTAAAAACGAAACACATTCAGAAGGAAACATGAGCAAACTACTTTCGATCCCTATTTGCTGAAGGTGACGATAATAAATCACCAACATCAGAAGTGACAACAAACGAAGAAAAATATATTGAGGAGGAAAATGTCAAGGAAGCATCAAGCAAATTAAAATAGAAAATCACCAGGAGATGATAAAAATATTCCCTTGCTTACCTTGCATTATTATAGATGCTAGGTAGAGAACTCAAGGACTGGGTAAGAAATGGAAGAGTAGAATGTATCGATCATATAAGCATAATGACAGCAAATAGAGTAATAAAGATAGCGAGGATCGGTTCCCCAGTAGGAAGATCACTAAAACGATGGAACAACTTACTGAAAATTTTTTTAATTGATGAAAAAGTGTTTATAAAAGAGAATTATTTATGGTTATATAAAAAGTGTAGCAGTACATTTTCTTCTAATGTTAGGGTTTAAGTTTTTGTCCAAATTCAGGTTGTATCTTATATCCAACGGATCTTCAGCATGATAAGCTGGCTTATAGTCGAGGATAAGAAGTATTTCAGTTTTCTGTCTATATCGCCAGAAAATATACTACGTGACTTGTAGCAATTTTATGCAAGCGAATAAAAGTTGTAAAAAGAGTTAGAAAATAAACCTAAAATAATTCAAAATACAATTTATACTTTGGAAGTCGAAAAGTAAAAAACAAAGTATTTATAATTATATTTGTGGTTCTCTCTCTACTACCTTCCCTCCTTATAGAGTAATATGTGCTCTGTTTATTAGCCAAAAGTGAAAGATGGTGGATGGGCTAGATCAGCGCATCTTCTTCTGTTTTATTCCTTTAAAATTTCCTCTACAACTCTTTTCGATTCTTCTCTATTTCTCGCTCTTTATTTAACCTCCCGAGTCCATTCTTTTATGACCTCTTCTAACATTTCTTTTCCAGCTATTATTCAGCCTTCCCTTCTTCTTCTTCCATCTTGTTGATATTCGAGTACCTGTCGCGTTATACTATTTTGATCTTTCCTTCGTGTATGTCCAATCCATTTCCATTTCCTGCTTTTAATTGCGACTGTTATTTTTCCTTTATAGTTCTGCGTTTGTTATTTTATTACGCCAGTATACTTTTAGGATTTTTATCAGCGATGTATTTATAAAGGTTTGTAATTTTTTGGTAGTTGTTTCTTCCTGTCTCCAAGATTATGTGCCATACAGGGACAGTACGCATCCTTGTTTAACTCTGCTTTGTATCTTCCACTAGTTTTCCTGCATGTTCCAGTCTGGTTCTGTATTCCTTGTAGAATAATGTGATCAGGTTGATGCATTTCATCAGTATTGCATATAGTTTCCGAATCTTCCACTACTGTTCTCTGTTTATACAATCGACGCCCTTATAGAAGTCAATAAACATATTTCTTTGTCATTTGCTAGCTTGTTCCACGATAATTTTTATAATATAAATGTGGTCGATAGTGGAGCGCTTAGCGCGAAAGCCTGTATGGTTTCTTCTTTAGCTCTGGATTTAGTCTATTCAATATGATCTTGAACATTATCTTGGAGGTGGCGGTCAGCAGTGTTATTACTCGCCAATTCTCGCAATCACTTAGATCGACCAGTTTTGACAACTTAATGATTACACTTTCGTTACATTCTTTTGGTAGCTCCTCGTCGCCCATGTCTTGTTAAAGAGTTGATAAAATTTCGTTTGAATCGGACTTTATCAAATCTATTGGTAGATTTTCACTTCCAACGGCTTGATTTTAACTGCTATATTGTTTCATTGTATTTTCTATTTAACGCTGTTCCTTCTTCGGTTGCTTCCTTTTGGATCGCTTTCTCTGCTTATCTATTTTCTGCTTTTTTTTCATTTCAATCGTTTCGTTTTCAGTTTTTGGCATTACGTTATCAATTTTCCTCATATTTTCTCTATATTTCCTCTATATTTCCTCCACTGTTCCCTTATTTTGGGGCGCTGCTGTTTGGTTTATTTTCATTCTTTCTGTGAATTTGGTTATTATAGCCCTGAAATTAGTATTTCCAACACCAGAGAAAAAACCCAGTACCTTCTGCTTGATTACATATACAGGCAAAATAACAACAAAAATTGCCAAACATATAAAAAAGAAAGGAATAACACCAGCTTTCCGAACAAATAAAAACCTAGGCAAATATATTAAAAATAACAAGAGCCAAAATAAAAAAAACACTTAAATAGTGGTGTGTACAAACTTCAATGTGGCGACTCCCCAAAAACTTACATCGGTCAAACTGGTAGAAACTTTGATAAACGAATAGCAGAACATAAAAGGGCTTTCAAGAACAGAAAAACAGATTCGACATACGCACTTCACCTTCTATATCATAATCATTGTTTTAATGACAAATTTAAAATTCTTCACATTCAAAATAAAGGCCTTAAGCTATCTCTGTTAGAATCTATGGAAATCAACAAATTAAAAAACACAGATATAATTCTGAATGACCAACTTGAGACAAACAGTTCTCCCCTCCTCAACCTATTTCATTAGAGACTATAAATTTGTAACCCAAACCAAAAATAGATCACTTGAGAAAAGCAATCAGTCGAAACGGCTGTAGTGATAAGATTTAAAATACATTTTGTGGAAGTTTAAAAACAAAGTTTTCAGTGTTTTATTGTTATACAAATTACTAATATGTTGTAGTATTTTGCCTTAAATCAAATAATAATACAAAATTATCTTGAACATTTAACCTAAATTCATAACAAATCTATTAAATTTATGGGCGAAAAAATCGTCTTTTCAGCAAAAAATAGATAATACGATAAAGAGTTAATGAAACTATATAAAATTTTATAAAAAACAATTTTGAAAATTTACTTACCCACATAATACTTTCCCTTCCACTTGAATGATTCAGAATTTACAGCAATTTGAAGATTAACCCATCCTTCGGCAAACAGTTGGGGCTGTACACATATAGCTCTGTTTTTATCAACAACATAACCGAATACTTCATTTGAAACGTCAAACTTGCATCGAATCCTATCATTCAAATTGAAGCATGGACCTGTTATATTTACCACGGTTCCTCCCAACATGTTACCACTTTCTGGAGCGAATTTCAGCGGAAGGTTGGCACCATCTGAAAAGTATTACATTATTACTGCTCTATTATTAAAATAGCTTTACATCTAGGCCATACAAGTCTCATACTATGCAAGTTCGTCTTGTATGGCATATCTCTTGACTAGCATGATCTGTTCACATTAGAGCTATTTTTGTTCAATTTTGAGATACCACTTTCACTGCTGTCAACAGAAGAAATACTTTAACTTTGATATTTCACTTAGAAATTCAGTCCAGCATTAAATATATTTAAATATAAATCACAAATTATTACACCCAATAAATTACATTTACATAAGGTTAAGGTTTATTCTGAACTATAAATTCTGTTATATTGCCAATATAAATTTTGAGAATAAATTGCATGTCAAAATCAACATGCAATCATTGCAATCAAAATATCATGAAAAATAGAACACGTTCTAATTTTTCGTCTGGCAGACATATTGCTTAGAAATATAGTGTGGGCATGCGCAGTTACATAATCTGTCTTATGTAGCTCTTGCATAGCATGAACATTGGATAATGTAAAGTCGACGTTACACAAATAACAGACATCAAAAGTCTCCCCTTCCTCACGAAGAGGTACAGTTTTTGAACATTCAACTTAAAATATTAAATTTATGACGTACACCATTGTTCTTCATCGGTTGTTACATTCAATGAAGCCCAATTATATTATCAAGAACTTTTCACCCTGACTTATCTATCGCCTTCTTCTATACCTCCGGAGTACAGTGCATGGAAGTGTCGATTTGTCGACGAAGAGTTATCGAGTGTTTATTGTTTTTATCTAGAAAACTATTAAATTCTTAAATTCTTCAGAATTGCCACTAAAATCTTAGAATATGAAAGCGATTAAAAAAAGGTTGTACCGAAATGCACCTGTTTTCGCCCGTGTCAGAGGTTTTTTTCAAATGTTGTTGAACTGTGCTGTAAATGTTAGTTTTATTGACTATCTTTTTTTGCGTTATTAAGAATATTAATTTTACAATTTAAAAATATATTAACAGTTTTTAATATTAAAGACTATTTTTACTTTTAAGTATATTAAATTTTATAGTTTAGTTAAACGAAAACCACGTAATTTTTTTTAATTTTTGAAGTATGTTACCAAGATGCTACTTTGAGTTTATAATTTAATTTTAACCAAGGCCTATTGGATTCGACTCTGGTTGTAGTCTTTTCATTCAGTTGTGGTCAATTATTCAATTATTTCTTGTTTTCTAAAGTTTTAATCAAAATAACTTGCTAATTAAGCCTTATTTTTAAGTCTTATTATATTATTTAAATAATAATATTTTAGAGATGATATAAGATTTTATTGAATATATAGTCTCTTTCAGCGTATGTTGTGTTTTATAATTTTCTTTGATAATTCTTTAATTTGTTTTTTGACCTGTTTTTAATGATTTCGAACTAAATGTTGATGTTTACTTTATTTATTCTTAAGTTTCTTCATTAGGTTTAGGTAAAAACTTATTGGAGCCATTTTATTTTGTAGTTAACTGTATTCCGTGTGTCTTATTTTTCTTTTGTCAAACTATCACCTAATTATCTATCAACCGTTTATCTATCTGTCTTTGTTCTGTGTTTTTCTATTAATTTATATCTTTACCCACCCCCAAGGAAGCTCCCGAATAGAGCAACGTGAATTATAAGCTTTTTATCGTATAGTCTTGTTAGCTTATTTGTTACACTAAAATGGTGCCGGCAACGTGAGACGTGATCTTTCCATTTTCGTCGCTTACATAATCGTATTCTTTATAATATGACATTAAAATGGCTCCCTACAATCATATTTTTGTAAATTATACAATAATTGATCTTTTTATTTTCGTATATTACATGATCTATATATTTCTATACATTACACTAACATGTACCGGATCTTACTTTTCCTTTATCTATATTCAGCTATATCATGGTCATTTCTACACTAAAAAAAATATGCTACGAACGTAGTAGCTGTTTTCGGCTGTTTCTAAGTTTTTTTTGTTTATTTTGCTTATGTTGTAAGCAACATGATCTTCGTAAGTCTTGGTGAACGATAAGCTTTTATCATCTAGTATTATTGTTAGCTTTTTCGTTACAACTTGGAGAAAAATTAATCTAATAATTTAATTTTATCTGACTCACTCATATTGACGATTCAGACATTGAGTGTACATTTTGAAGTAGACGACTTTCTTCTTCTTTTTCTAGTGTCGTCTCCACTAATGAGGGTTGGCTATAACCATTGCAAATTCGTCTCTATCTTCTGCTTTTCTAAAAAGTGTCTGTGTTTAACCTGGTTCAGTCGCGAATGTTTTTCAGCCAGGATATTTGTCGTCGATTTGTCGTCTTTTCCTTCGATTTTACCCGTCATAATCAGCTGCAACAACTCGTACTTATCATTTCTAAGTATTTGCCCCAAATATGCTGTCTTTCGCCTTTTAATGGTATTCAAAAGTTCTCTGTCTCTTCCCATTCTTCTGCAACACCATTTCGTTCGTAATATGATCGCTCCATGGTATCTTCGAAATTATCCTAAAAACCGACATCTTAAAAGCTTCCACATAGAGATTTCTCACTATGTTAATATTATTTTTGTCGAGTTCTTTTCTCTTTAGATATTCCATGAGAACAATATCTTTAACTTTGTCCAAAGCTTTCTCATGTTCTATAAACGCAACGAAAAGATCTTTTTGTTGGTCTCGACATATTTGGGCAATAGTTGTGAAACTATACAAAGCTTTCACTGTTCCGAAGCTGTTACGAAAACCAAGCAGTCTATTATCACTCATATCCGCTTCGCACTTTCTGAATATTCTTGCTGAATAATTTGACATTAAGCTGATTAATCTATAGTCATTACAGTGTTTGGAGTTTTTGGTTTTTGGTAGCGGAACAATGGTCGATAGCAGCCATTCTGTAGGTATCTCACCAGATTTGTATATGTTGTTAAAGAGTACAGTTATTGCACTTAAATTGTCTTAGTCTATAAATTTAATCGACTTCGTCTATTCGCTCCGTGCGTGACTGACGCGACACCTACCGCCTTCATCTGACAATTTTGGAGTCCCAATTTTCAGGTTAAACATATGACATATGTTTGACATTATTAAATACAAGCGAAATTGACAATTATTAATAAATTAGTTTTTTAACTATATTTTTTCAGTTTATGTTCAAAATAAATGTAGTATTAAAAACTTAGTTTCTCAAAATTCATCATAATATATCTTTTCAACTCCAAACGGAAAAGAATCGGGAAAAATCTAGTACTGGCAAATCAAGTTTTTCACGCAAAAGAGCATATAATTAAAAACAATAATGGTAAAAGTTATGATATAAAAGCTAAAGTCATCTACAGTTAGCTTGAAGCCTTATCAAATATCATTCAAGGTAAATTATTTAAATTTTCAATTGCATAAAAATGAAATTATGTGATATTTACTTTTTCATATTAATAGTACGAATTCATCTTTTTCTTTTCTCTAATTTATATGTAATCTTTGGGAACCTATAAAAACTACACTCACTGTTTTTGCTATTATTAGCACAATTAAATACGCAATATGTATTTGCATACATTTTTGATAAAAATTATGCGTAAAAATATTTTGTCCAATATTCCAATTTTGTCATATTTCGCCGCTACGCACGCTGGCATCGTTTCAATGTACCCCTACCATGGTCACGCACGGAGCGAATAACAGACGACTTTAAAATGTATAATATATGTCAGAATTGTCAATATGATTGCGTCAATTAAAATTAAATTACTAGAAGAATATTTTTCATTTGTTTTAATTTTAATTTTAAATTTTTAAATAAATAATTTTTATTTTTAAGTAAAAAAGACAAAAGTGTTTAATGTTTTGTATTTTAATAACGATTTCCGAAGCGGAAATCGAAACATCAAAAATAAACTTATTTTAAAGTTAAATTGAGGTTTATTTCCAATAAAAATACTAATTGCATTATATTTCCTTCAGTAAGCTTGTTAACATTAATGGTTATTTTATCATTGCTTTCTCATTATTCGCTTTTCTTCTCTTATCGTTTTAGATTTCTAATCATTCTTTAACCGGAAATCGAGGTAACGAAATATTTGTTTTTTTTATATTAAAACTTTATATAAATGCTTTAACCTCCACAATAACTACAAGTTCAATTTAGTGGAAATCGATAATCTTAAACTTACCTATGTCTTTGTTGCACGATCCAAGCAAAATGTCCTCATCAATACGGAAAATATGTCTTCCCTTAAAACCATTTCCAAATCCAACTGAAGTAAGATCTCGAATGACGGAAGCTTGACTGTAAGGATTATATTCGTAGCTTCTGGTACCATTTCCAGCGTTGAAACCAACAAAAGCACTAACACCACCTTCTCCGTTTTGTGAATCACCACCGGCTTCAGTGTGAGAGGTCCAGTCCAAGTTGAGATAGTTGAACATCGCGTAAGTGAATACTTCGTCAGTTGCAAGAACCATTTGGAAGGTGTTCGTCTTTTAAAAATGAAGCATGTTATTGTAATGTTGAGTTTAAAGAAAAGTATGAAGTATAAAGATAAAAAATAGATAGATTCGGTGGACTAGAAAAGCCAATAAAAATGGTTGCAAATGTTTCTAAATGTAAAAAAGTCTTTAGAAATTAATGACGTTATTGCGATATGCTAGTCTTATTATAGTAATATCGTATAGATTTTTAAAATACGCCTTCTCCTCAATTGAGGTTGACCACTACTATTTCGAACGCTTTCTTATTTTGCGGTTATCAGTTAATGCATTTTGTATATTGAACCATTGTGGTAAATTATCTTCTTCTCCTTCTTTCTTCTTGTATGTAGGCTTTAAAGCCTGTTTGAGATTCTGGAAACGAGGGAAGCCCTGTTCGCTGTGAATGTACTTGTGCAAATGTGCATGGATGTTAATCAGCCAGTATATATGTGTTTCTTGGATTACAACAAAGCATTCGATAAGGTCAGACATAACCGTTTTATCGAATTACTTGAAAAGAAAAACTTTGATCAGATATGAGAGACATCAGGATCATTAGCGCTATCTATTATAATCAGATCGCTGTGGTAAAAGAGAACAACGTCTTCTCAAATGAAATACAGATTAAGAGGGGCGTCAGGCAGGGCTGTGTCCTGTCTCCTACTTTTTTTAATTTGTATTCAGAGGAAATAATCCAAGAAGCACTAGAAGAACTAACTATGGGAATAAAAGTAAATGGCCGACCAATCAATAATAATATACGGTTTGCCAACGACACTATTTTATAAGCGGAATATCTTGAGGATTTACAACAAATGGTTGACAGAGTGGTAGAAGTCAGTGAAGAAAACGGACTGTCCCTAAACACAAATTTGTCCCTTTATGTCTAAAAAAGACATAATTTATGGTAATTACAAAAGCCCAACAGCGCCAAGAAAACATAACATGGGTATTTAGATGTCATATATTTGGTTTTTTCTTATTGTATTTCTTGGCTGTTGTATTGAAGATGTGTGTTAATCTTTGGAGCTCGTCTTTTGTCTCCGCGAATAATGCGACGTCATCTGCATAACATAATATTTTGATTTCTTTGTTCCCCATTCTGTAACCATGACCTATTACGTACTCCATTATTATATTACAGAGAAATGGGCTTACCGAGTCACACTGTCTGACGTCGCTTTGTATTGGTATACACTGTGTTATTTTCCATTTATCTTTGTCTGTATTCCATTATGGAAGTAGATGCTTTCGATGGTTTGTATAATATTGATTGGTATGTTTCTTTTATGCAGTAGGTGTAAGATGTCTTCGATTTCGATGCGATAGAGCCTTTGTTAGGTCTATAAAACAGATATGTTAGTTTATTGTACTCGATGGCATTTTCTGTGATTTGTCTTACTACAAATACGGGGTTTATGCAAAATCTTTCGGATCTGAATCCTTGTTGTTCATCTGATAAAGTTGTTAGTTTATTGATTTTGTTGGTTAGACTTTTGTGGTAAGCTTAAGTGCGGTGTTGTGTTCAGTAGATTTATATCTCTATAATTTTTGGGGTCTTCTTTATCTCATTTCTTGAACATTGGTATCATTATGCTGTTTCTCCATGCGTCTGGTATCTTGCAGTGCAATGTTTTTGTATAAGTTTTGTTATCTCTCGGATTATACTTTCTCCTCCATGTTTTAGAAGCTTGTTAGTTATTCCGTCTGGTCCTGGTGACTCTATTTTTGAGTGAATTGATGGCTATCTCTACTTCCTAAAACCTGATTTCTATTTCGTGTCTTAATTTAGGTATGTTATTCTGTTGATTATTATTTTTTTTCTTTTAAATAGTTCCGTCAGGCATCTTTCCTATTCGTTTGCTGATATGTTATCGTATTTCTTCAATTCCTCTATATTTGTTTTTTTTTTGTAGATTTCTTGTGTATTTGGAGTAGATTTTTTTCAGCAGAAAACTAAGTAAAGTTTCCAGACGCTTGTTTCTATTTCTCAAACCAAATTTTCCTAGTGATGTTTTTGTATTATCCGTCTATCTACCCGTTTTAGCGGTGGGTTCTCCTCATCTACAGAGTCATACGCTTGTTTAAAATCTACAAAATTTGATGTAAATCTTTATTGTATTCCCAACTCTTTTTAAAATTTGGCACAAGATAAATATATGGTCTATTGTTGATATTTCCGGACTGAAGCCACCCTGTTAATCATCAGTTCACTGGAATTCAGTCACAAAAATTATAAAAAAGAGCAAACCTACTAACTTCTTCCCAAAACATTGTGATCATACAAAACTGCTCTAATAGAAATTAAGATAGCAATGACATCCAAGAATTACTCAGAGCAAATATTGGCAGTCAGGAAAGGCTTCTAAATAAAAAAAAATATTCATTAATCTTTTTCCTTAAATCGAAGCTTTTTCTATATTTTATCTACTTTGTTTAACTTTATAGATTTTTAAATGTAATTTTCTGCCAATGATTGCTTGGTGGATCTTTTACTTCTTATTTGAATGTTAAAATCTTTTATAAACAATTAAAATCTTTTAGGTTTCTTTTAGTAGGTATTTCTTCTCGTTCATGAGTCTAAATCTCCGATTGGTTATTAAAACCTTATCGTCATCGTCACACAGCCTACATCTACTGCTAAACATAGACCTTCCTTAGTTATTCTCAGTATTTCTGATTACTTGCAAATCTAGCTTGTTTGGGTTAACTGTATCGTTTACATTATTCCATTATGCCTTTATATAACCTATCTTCATTCATTTTCATTAAATGTTTATGTCAGTTTTGTTTTATGTGTGTCATCCTTTCCACAGTATCCGTAATCCTTTATCCGAGTTTCATAATACTTATATTTGGAGCAGTTTAGCGTTAAAATCAACATCAACCGCTCTATAACTTATTGAATCAGTCTGTTTTTTTCTATTGCAATCAATAACTATCTGTAATAACAAGTTTAATACTAATCTTGTATTGATAAGTGAATTTGTTTCACAACACTTTGTTCATTAGCTAGGACTACTATAAGCTTAAATATAAGAAATATGAAAATCCATGATTGAAGAAGATGTGGAAGTAGATAAAGACAGTTGTTCTATTTCAAAGAAATCCTAAAGAAAAATTAAAAACTTATAATGGATTAACCACAGATACCAAAAAAAAAAGAAGATTAAAGAACTTTAACTGCCGACATCAAGGCTAGGTGTCGCCATAAAGAAGCATAAAAATTTAATGAGATATATATCCACGTATATATTATTTTAATCCAAGATACCAACCTTGTACTTAGCATTAGCGAATCCTCCAGTGAAGGAAACATTTTTCCAAGTGACAATCACGGCGTGCTTAGGATCGAAGGTGTCAGATCCAATGACGCCTTCTCTGATATCCCATTTAAGTCTTTCTCTAATTTCTACACCCATTCTGTCTTGTCTGGTTCTTAAATCCCTTTCCATTCTAAAATAGACCCCTGGTGTTCTTTGATCGACATCTCCATCACGAAGATTACCGATTCTGCATCTGCTGAAGAAAATACCTAAACAAATAATTTTGTATGAAGTGTACTGAAGACTATTACTGCTTTATAATCTATTTTAACAATTGATTGATTGTAATAAACAATATATTTTTAAGGTTTCGATTTTCATTCCGGAAATCGTTTTAAAAAAATAATAACTTAAAAATTGCGCGAAAAAGTCTACCTAACCGACAAGTTTTTTTGGTTGAAAAAATCTGAGGGTGGTATTTTTACTGTCAGAATATCAAATTCTGACTATTTTGTCTGTTAAATCGTTTTATTTGTGTGTATAATGTTTGTTTAAGTTAGACTCTGTGTTTGTGTGTTGTGTGTTGTGTGTTTCATATGTATTGCGTATAATTGTAGATGATGCCCGCAACTTCCTTTATTCCGCTATTTTTTGTGTGTTTTTCTTGTTGAGTTCGTCTAGTATTGGCAACCAAAGACTGGTTTATTCTGCTGATAAGTTTGCTACACATTTTTCTTCATTGAGTAGGATGAAACCTGTTATTTGATGTTTCTCTTAATCAAGTTTGTGTCTTTCATGATTATTGATGAATCTTTCCATTCTACTCTGTGCTTGTTATCCCAGGTATGGTTACATATCTAAGCTTTGTCGAAGTCTCTGTTCTTGATGTACGTTTCATGCTCGTTTATTGGGACAAATGGTGGTCCTGTGATTTATCCCACATAGAAATCGTTACATTTATAGGTTATTTTATATATGCAGTTCTTTTATCTTTCTTGTGTGTTGTTTGGTTTGGTTTTGAACAGGATAGAACTCAGTATGTTATTTGTTTTGAGTGCTGTTGTATCATATACTTAATTCCTATTCTTTTATTTTTCCTCATAAGCCCTTTATATATGGTATTGTCATCTTTAAATTCTTTCTTGCGAGTTTATACATTTGGTTGTGGTATTTTGTTGTTACCTTTATTCAATCTTGTGTAAAATTCCTTGTTTATAAACGACAATGGCAGTCATTATTTATCAAAATCTTGGTTAGCAGATCTTCATCAAATGTATTTTAATTTGAGCAGGTGTTTCGGGCTCTTTGTTTACGTTGTGGTCGGAGTGGTAATTTAAATATCTGTTGGTGTAGTTTGGTTTTCTGTAAACTTTGGTTGCATACTCCCATGTCTTCTTTTGTAATTACCACATCCAGAAGATGATGTAAATAGTTGTTTTTTTTAAAGGTTAATTTGGTCTTTGTTCAGCAGAATAGAGACAGAGTATTGATTTTTTTGTTTGTGGCTTGGGAGTTTTAGGAATTGTGAAATTATTGAGAATCGGCAAGAGTACAGTCACTTTCAGGACAAAGTATTTTGTTTGTTGGGCGTTTTGTATAGGACGGAGTTTTTACATCTACAATTGGGGTTTGTTCTTTTCTCGAGTCTGCTTTTGGGATGGAGTGAGTGCAATGCTGATCTGGTAGTACATTTGAGGTATATTTTGGGCCAACTGACGCCTTTGGATAAGTGTTATGGGTGATGGTGTAATTGGTGTAACCGGTGACATTTTGGAAAGTGGTTGTCATTGTGATGATGAAGATTGTGATCTAGTAAAAACTATCAAGGTATTGTTTTAAAATTTAAATTGAGTGAGTATATTTAAACTGGATCAATTGGATTTTGGTTGTGGTGGCTTTTGAGGTCTAGATAAATGACTAGGTTTCTTAGATTTATAACAGTGTGTTTGACTAGAGATATTCATATTTTGTATGTATTTTCTTCATGGATCACTAATATTGCCTCTGGAACGTTCAGATTGTTTGGTTGTATATATACTATGCATCTAAAGCAAAAGATAGGGCAATATTTTGAAAGTTTGACGCTGATTCTTAAGAGTTATGGGAGAAACGAGATGTAATTCTCGGCTTAATATATTGTGAGGAACTGTTGGACATAAGATTAATAAACCTAGTCTCACAGATGGGGTTATGAGAGGTGTGGTAGATACAATTTTTCCTTTTTTTTTTAATGTGACCATGATTGTTCATAAACTCATCTTATTTAGGAGGTACATACACACTCGATTGTTGGATAAACAACTCGAGAACATGATGTTTTTAAATTGCACTACAAGATCTAAGAGAATCAGATAATTTTGTTAAGGAGTGTTTTCTAAGGCAGCAACGATAATGGCGGAAATTCTTTTAACGGAAGCTGGTTTTGTGAAGTGGCGAAGCAGTAGCATTGCGAAGTATTTTTATGTGAAATTTATTGCGGAATAAGATTTTCATCTTTGGACTTAATTGTTACTTTCATTTTTGCAGGTTTTAGAACACTCGAATAATTCGATACGACCCTGTGCGAAGAACTACTGATATTCGGTATATTTTCACTTCGGAACCATTTTCAATTTTTTTCAAAATCGTTTTCAAAAGTTAAAAATTTCTTAACTCTTCCTTTTTCTCAACAAAGATGGGTAAAATGGTAAATGTGTTGAAATTCTTTCTATTATCTTTCAAACTATCTCTTACTAATAAAATTTGTTGGTTTACTCACCAATAAAGGCAGGATCATTCTTTTTGGGCCATTCTTTAATAGGAAATACTAAGGGATAGTCATAATTTGGAGGTGGGTCGCTAAATTCCAGATATCCATTCACTGACACTCTTGTATAGTTATACCTAAAAAGAAATTTTAGCCGTTTCACTTTTTTCATTGTTTATAGTTTAAGTTTTTGTAAGTAACTATTAACTACAATTTGACCCTACGTACTGTTACATTTTGACACGATAAAGTAACAATAAGAGTATTAACCAATTTAATGATATATAAGTACCGAGAAATATATTAAACGCTCCTTGCTACAGTAGAAATGAATACTATTACGATAGCGCCCGTTCATTCAACTACCCTCTAGAAGAATGTTTAGAAGAAAGATTTTACTATATATAAGGGAAATAAAATTGTAGAGTCAATAATATAAATTTTTACTATTAAGTAAATAAATGTTATAAATTATAGTCTTTTTAGTATTAGTGTTAAAACACTGTAAATAAATTAAAATAAACATTACATTGGTGTCAGAAGTGGGCATTTAAAAACATTCTGTGAAAAATAGCTACGAGAGTTAGCGATTTAGAAGTAACGGATTTACGTGAATCGGAAGTTCGAAAATTAAATTCTGCTTATGTGAATGAATGTGTTTTGTAAATTAGTCCAACGGCTAAAGGACGCTCTGAAAGAAGAGAGTCTTGATCCAGAAACTTATGTATTTGAGGATAAGTCGACAAGAAGACCAGCTTTCTAAAGTTTCTGTGAAATCACATCATTGGAAAGCAAACTTTCTGTCGATATCACATCGTTAGAAAAAAAGGCTGGTGATATCGTATTGTTAAAAAGCAAGTTTCTTGTGATACTTCAAAAGTTTCTATTGATATTTTCAAAGACTTCGGATATTCTATATACATGTTTCAACGATATTTCTTCTCCAAAAATCAAAGTCTTTGCTAACATCTCTTCTGAAATCTTTAAGATCACTTCTGAGATTTTTTTTTCTTGGCGATAAAGTATCTTTGTTGATAAACAAATTTACTGCCAATATTTCGTCTTTTGAAGAAAAGATCAAAGATATTGAAGAGATGATGTAGGAAACAGGGACATCAAACAGAAGAATTCAATGAATTACAGTAAGCTTTTCGTATTAAAGCCCCAATATAAAAAATCCTTATGGAATAACTACAATAAACAGTTCAAATCAGTTGCAAGATCGAATGGATAGTCAAAAAAATAATTGGCTGTAAACCTAGCTTATGCTCTTCGAGGAGATGTCTTGGATGTGCTTTAAACAATAGCCGTAGAGGAGGCAGATGATTTTAAACAAGAAGAGATTAAAGTGTGATGTGATATTGTTTGGTTCCAAAAATCACGAATAACGCTCAAATTAAAGCAGTTAGGTATTATTATTCGGAACGCAGGTGGCGTCGTAAAGAAATGGATGACGCAGCACGGACTAAAACTTGCGACAGAGAAAACCGAAGCCATTATTCTGAAGGGGACAAGGAACAGGCAAGGTGTTGAATTAAAATGTGCGGGAGTATGTCTAACACCCAAGAAACAAGTAAAATATCTAGGAGTGACATTGCACCAGAATGGAAAATGGGGGGCACGTTCGGGAGGTGGTCCGAAAGGCTGCGAATAGTGCTGCTACGTTGGGGAGAGTGATGCCGAAGATTGGAGGACCCGAATCCGAAAGGGGGAGGGTCTTACACGGTGTTCTACAGTCTATCGTCCTCTACGCGGCACCAGTCTGGAGCGAGGCGGTAGAGATAACGGCCTATAGGAGTCTTATGAAACGAGTAGACAGAACAAGTCTGTTGCGAGTGGCATGCGCCTACAGGACTGTGTCTGCGGCAGCCTTGTAGACCATCACTGGATGTGTTCCGTTGCATGTTTTGGCGGTGGAAATAAAAGAGCTTTATGAGAGAAGAGGTCCAAACCTTACTGTGGCTGAGAGAAGACAGGTAAGAGAAAGGTCAGTTGAAAGATGGCAAGAAGAATGGAACAATACGGAGGATGTGGCACAGTGGACGAAAATGCTGATCCCCAACATAAGAGCTTGGGTGGACTGTGGCCACAGGCGATTGGATTATTTTCTGACGCAGGTGCTTACAGGACACACGTGTTTTAGGGCCTACCTTTATAGGATCGGTAAGGCTGATACAGATGAATGCCTATATTGTGGATACTCGGACACTGTGACACATACGATGTTAGATTGCAGCAGATGGATAGTGAAAAGGAACAGAATGGAGAGAGAGAGACAGGTGTGAATTTTGTTACACTGAGAGAAATGATTGAGACAATGATTGAAAATAAATTAGGTTGGATTAACATACACAGTTATATCCGTGCAGTGATTAAAAAAAGGAAAAGGAAGAAAGACAGCTGGACCAACGGCAAAGGTAGAGTGAATGATGCTGAAAGGTTAAGTTAGAACAGTGGGTCACACTTTTTGAGTTAGAATGCGTGAGTTTGACTGTGGGGAAGGAGGAAATGCCCTTCTGGGAATGATGCCGAACTAGGAGTGTGGATGTGTATGAATGGAGAATGAATGAATAAAGGTAGTGCTTCGAAGTGATGCCGGCCTTACAGCGGCCATTCCGCTTCCGGATCGCTGGATGACAGAGGAGGGTCTGGTTTAGCAGGTAGGCGTTCGGCGTAGACTCGGCGACGAGAGGGCATTTTAAAGTACCTTGGGAACTATCGCCGCGAGTACGAAGAACGAATCCTGCACTAAGGTTAGTCAGGCGGCGTCCTGGACTGAGATGTCTTTTGAAGATTCCAGACCCCTTCTCTATAAAGACGAAAAAAAAAAGGTATGGGAAATGCTTAATAAATAATAAAGCACCATAAAATAACATTTAATTACGATATTAAAATACAGGGTGTTGAAGAAAATGCATACAATTTAAGAAAACCAATCGACTCTTATATACCAAATGTTAAATATTTCGACATGTTAATAATTTTAGACAATAGTAGATTATAATAAAAATCTTTTCAACAGAAATATATTTTTTGATGTTATATTGTATAATTCTGCAGGGTATTAATTTTGCTACGAAATTATTATAAAAACGTATTTATCCTTTAAACTACTAAACAAAAAATTGTAAAAGGTATTATTGTCTTTACGTATATTATAATAATATATTATATGTTTACTCAATAACTTCTTCTTAAAGTTTCATCTTCTATCGAAGGTTGGAAATCATCATGGCTGTGCAGACGCTGTTGACTGCCGCTCTAAAAAGTTCTGCACTACTGCATTCAAACCATTGCCTTAAATTTTTAAGCCAGGATATTTTTCGTCTTCCCACATTTCGCTTTCCTCGGATTTTGCCCTAAATAATAAGGTGTAATAATGCGCATTTTTGCCCTCTCTGGTAGTCATCCCCTGGCTTTCCACATCTCAATGCCTCAGCAACTCAGCAGTTTAAGCCAATCGCCAGAGAAGGAAATTTTTAAAATGCCGTTGTTTAAATTTTAAAATGGATTTACAGCTTTTATTTGTGAGGACACTAAGCTAGGTTTACACTGATCGGTGAAGATTGGGATTGATGCCTACATAAAAGATGTAAAAACCAGTACATACTTAAAACATATCGCGTACTGAGGTGTAAAAATAATAAAAAATCTTGATTACTACTCTACCTGAATCCAAAGAAAGGCAATTGGAAGTTTAGATTCTTGTGCACCTGAGGAATGGAAGATTGAATGTCCTTTTGGAAATCTCCCAAGTTATTATCACTGCCTCCCTTATCGAAAAATGGATACATCATATGTTTCCTTATTTCTGCCAATCTCGCTTCGGTTATAGTGTATGGAGTCCCTCCTCCCCGTTGGTCAGTGTCTGGTGGAGCAGTGTCTGAGGTCATAGGATCTGGAAGAATTTTTTCTGTGACTGAGATTCAAATAAACATTAATATCTATATATACATAATTTTGAGTAAGAAAGCGCCTTAAGCATCTGTGTATAGCCCATATTGTGAAGATCAGAAGAACCAATTTCACCGTGCAAATAAGAAAATTAGAGATTTCTATTTTATAAAAAAATCCTAAACAGGAAAAGGGAAGTTTGACAAATCACAAATATAGGCTTTTTTCTTATACATACATACATCCACCTAAAGAAGTAGTCTCTAATATTATAATCTTACCCTAAATTTTCAGTCTCGAACAGTTTTGTTCTCATTTATATTTTTAAACGTGTCTTTTAAAAAATAATTATTCAAACAAGCACTTACAAAACAACAGCAGCCTTATGCATTAAAAAAAATAATGGCGAATTATTAATGTAGTTATAAATGAGGACTAGTAAAGGCAATTAAAGAAGACTTACAAGAATTGAAGAATTTAAAGATGAAGGAAGAGCAGTTTAAGATAGGGAAAAAAGCCTTAGATAAGACAAAAAGTCTTATTGTACTCAAGGTAGTCATAACTAATTTGACACAAAAATACGTTTGTATTAAGGTACAAATGAATGAAGCTTACAAACTAAGCGACAGAGCATGTCAGGGAAAATAGGACAGAATGAATATCATGCAGAACAAATTCAAATTAAGAACAACGATCTAACATAACATATGATAATCTAATATAAAAACAAATACGCAGAGCTAAAAATGCAAACAAAAAGGCTAGGTCTGGAAATAAAAGACAGAAAAAACAAAAATACAGACGAGTATCCCAATTAAAGCGACGATCAATTAAAGGGATACATTGTATTGATCTCTGATAATAATAAAAATTATTTATTTAATACCTTTATAAAACCTGAGTTCAGTTACGTCAAAACACAAAAATTGCATACCAGACGAAAGCTGCACTATTATCCTTTAAAACTCATCTTGATTTTTATCGATAGGATACTCGGATCAAAAGATATTCATTTTTTACCGTCGAGCTGATACAAATTTTATTTAGCATTGATTTCGCGCTCGTAACTGACATTTAAAATCGCCGATCGCTTTAATTGTTGTTTCTGAGAGAACGGTTTATTCTACATAAAAAATGCTGATTGATGTTTTTGTTCAAAATAATTTTAGCTAAAGTTTTTATTTGAAACATTTTTCTCTATGATGTACAGATTCTTGGCAAATCTATTTTTTACCTTTTCCCCCCCTCTACGTGGGGGTTTTAGAGGAAAACCCGGGGATAAAAGTGGTAAACTTTTTTGTATCTTTTTTAGCGTCCCTTGACCTAAAACTGACCTTTTCGGCAACGTCCAGCTTGTTCCCATAATTTTTAGAGGTTCAGTGGTATTTTCATCTCTGATGACTGGATTAAATGTAATAAAATACGCGGACGATACAGTAATTCTGTCAGAAAATATTGAAGGTCACCAAATTCTCCTTGATCGTATTTACGAAGTAGAAAAGAAAATGGTCATTAAATAAACTCGAACAAAGATAAATTTGTATTCTTTAGTGGTAACACATATCGAGATGCAGGCGCTTCAACTAAAACGACTAAATGGAGTCCAAGTTGAAAAAGTTTACAAAATTAAATATTTGGGAACTGTCATAACGGACCAACTAGATCTGAACATAGAAATAAAATGCAGAATAGCAATGACTAAAACTATTTTTATGAAAATGAAAATATTCTTATAATAATTTTCTCAGTTCAGAACTAAGACAAATAATGGTTAAGTGCTATATTTGGTATATTTTTATATTAAGCAGAAGTATGGACCCTAAACGTATCAAGCATGATCAAAATTGAAGTATTGGAAATGTGGATTTATAGACGGAGCATAGCTGAACAAGGTATCTTTATGAAGATACCTTGAACAGCAAGATAAATTAATGAGGAATTACTAAGGAGGGTCAACAAAGATAGAGAATTGCTAAAGACTGTTAAACATTGGAAAATGTCTTATCTGGTACACACAGTGAGGAGAAAATAATATAGAATATATTAATAATATAGAATATATTAATATATTATATATTAATATAGCTAAAGATAAGGTTCTAGATACTGATTATATAAAAATGGAACTTAAATGTGGTGGATAAGAATTAAGCGAAAAACTAAGATAATATCTTATATTGTTGATAATATGTTCGGGTATTAAAAGACAAATTATCACATATAAAAAAAGGCACCAAAAGATGTCTAATAACTAGAGTCGACTACTATTAACCACTGTAAATAAAATCATATATATTATATCAATAAAATCCCACGTCTTTGTTTTTCTAATGTACACTTGAGTCCAAAGAAACGATCCAGTACGTTTTGGTATATTATTACTATAGTGATCATCATAAAATATGGAATACACTATGAAATAATTCTTGTACATTACTGTATAATCTGTTTTCTCCGTACATAAATTTAAGTCATGCTTTTGTGGTTAACAAATATTGCCTCCCTGTTGAAGTTTCATATCCACTAAAATTTAATGCACAAATCGCCAATATGGTCAAGAAGCATTGAGTGATCTAAAACATATTGAAAACTCCGAAGATTAAACAGACACCTTGCTTCTTAAAAAAAAAATACAGGGGAGATAAAAATATTTACAGTACAATCTAAAGTTAATATTAAATTTTAACTTTTATCTATAAGTAGTCCACCCAATAACCAAACGTTTACAGTTTTTATGTGGCTAAAGATAAATTCGGCGTATTATTCACAATATTGTCTATTTTTTTTTACTATCTGTGAATTATATTTAAAATTTGTTTTTATTTTATAAACTGCAAATATTTTTAATTATTTATATTTTAAATTTTAATGCCTGCTGTACTGGAGAAATAAGACGTTGCATCCTCTCTCCTCTGCTATTTCACATTGATGTAGAAAAGATCTTTTTGCTTGCACAGCAGAATGAAAAAAGTATTAAGAGAAATAGAATTCTCATAAATAATTTGCGATATGCCGATTATGCTATATACAGCTATCCTAGCAAACAACATAGAAGAATAGTTACAAGAGATAGTAAATAATTTTAATAAAGTGGAAGAGGAATTTGGTCTGAACAAAAACAAAATTAATAATAATTAGGTGACAATTACATATGCAAGCACAGTTCGACAAAAAAGTGTAGATACAAGTAGCAATAGCTAGAAATGTTTTTAATAAATTCAATAACTAACTGTGTAAGCGCGAAACTCATTTGGCTCTCCGTATTCGCGTCCTAAAATGATTCGATTGACATGAAATTTGAAATACGCATAAGAAAAATGTCAAAGAAAAAAGTTATAGAGTACCGATGACGCTTTTACTTCAGGTGTAAGTGTCACCCCTTCTTGGGAGTGATAATATTTTTAAATAACCCTCGAAATCGATAGAAAATTCAGGTTTTAGTAAAAAGTGTTATATAGAATTTTCTCGGTAAGGTATTATTTTCCAAGTTTTTCAAGCTTGAAATTGTTTACTACCTACCCAAAAAATTCATCTTTTTAAGTAGTTTTTCAAAGGCCATATGAATTAAAAAGAAACCTTTTAAAATAATAAATTACATGTTTTTTTTTTAATTTTTATTGTGACTATACAACCCGAGTTACAATTTGTTGGAGGTGAGGGTTTAATTAAATTAACCGGCAATCGAAACGTTTCTTACCAAATAACGAAAAAGAAGAGTTTTTAAGAAAAAATGATCAGAATGTATTCAAAAGTATTTAATGAGTTTGTAAAATGAGTTAAGCTATAAGCGATTCGAATGGAAAATATACGAGTTATACCAAAAAAAGCACGATTATAATAAATAAAGAAATTAAGTTATTGGCTTTTCCACAAAAATGAAAATTAATCTTATTCCACATAAAAATAGCTTTATTTGTGGTCTCTGTTAGTTTCAGAGTAATTTTGAAAAAAAAAAGGAAAAATTTTATTAACTTTCAAAAACTAATTCCATACTAAATTTAAGTTTTTTTTCAAATCTCGGCATTTTAAACTTGTTAAGATTTTAGGACACGTAGTTGATACATAATAATATAATGTTATTAAATTTAAAATCGGTTGATATTGACATTTAATTTTTTGGTATTTAAAAAATTAAATCAATAAATTGTGTGTTTGATTAGGTAAAATAAATTGATAAAAAAAGGTATATCAAATGGGTTTATAATATGTGAACAACAATAGAATAGTAAGTTTGAAAAAACATTACTTATTTGTCTTGCAAATATGAGCTGCATTCATGTCATACCACATGAAAGCTTTTATTTTACTAACTGTTAAATTTGGTACATACTGTATAGACCAGGGAAATATGCAAAAAACGTACCGTGTTTGTAATACTCGTCTGGTTAGGCAACCGACAGTTGTTTTGAGAAGTATGGACCTCTATAACAAGAACCTATATATGTTTCCTGCAGTTTTTTTGAACTTAATTAATTATTAACAAGTTAAGGTCAAAAAACGGTAATTTTTTTTACTTTTTTTCGTCTTTCAGCAAAAATGAAAGCGTTTGAAACAGATTTTAGAAGAAAAGAAACTTATAAGTCATATAAAAACCTTCAAAATATCCTTATTTTTTGCTTAGAAAGTTGCAAAATAAGTAAAAAAATTTCGATTTTTTTTAAATGTTAATAACTTTTTTTTTAAATAACCTTTATAGTACACACAATGTTGGGTCTTGTGATACTTAAAAAAAATCAAAATTTCAAGTCGATCGGTGAAAGAGTTTAAAAGTTATTTAATTTGTTTTTCCCAAATCATATTTTTTTGCATCAATATATATAAAGTCAGAAAATTAAATAGCTATATTAAACATACAGATAGATTCTGAGAGAAGAAGATTTATTCTATTAATATTGCAAAATAATTTGGCAAAACATGTCAATTTTAAATTTGCTTATAAACAATTAGAATAATTTTTTAACCGTTGACTGTAAAAAACTGATTTTTTTATATTGTGATAGCCTG